GATAGTTATTTCTCAGGTCTAGGTCAGAGATTTTTTTTATATATATATCAAAAAGTATTTTCAAGACAAGTATCTGGAGAAAGCTCAAAATCTCTCAGTCTCAAAATCTTTAGAAGCAAGAGATGTCTTCAGACAAGGCTGTAGCAAAGAGTTTGGACACAAAGCATAGTAGAAAGCATATCCTTCTTGAACAYGATACTTCCCTCTAGTTTCAGCACAGATACCTATTTCATAAAGAAGCAATTTGATCTTTTAGAAATCTACATGTCTATCAAGGAGGAGATACCCAGTGTCTTACTGTGGGTGCAGGTCCTGACAGGGGCTGAGAACCTGTGGGTTGCACTGAAGGCCCTAGTGGGACAAAACAGCCTSTCAGTCAGAGTTTGGAAGAGGAACCTATAAGCTGAGGTACTTCTCAACTTGATAAGATTATCCATAATGGAACATGGGCCCCATAACAAGAGAATTTATTTGTAGATCCTTGTTTCTGTAGATTTAATAATAGCTTGTAAAAGCTTCTTCCTTCTGAAAATGCAGCAGTTGGTGTGACCCACATTGCTTGGGAAAACCAAGAAAGTGGAAGACAAGTACTCCTTACCACACAAATCTTTGGAGTGAGCATGTTTGGACTTTGACATGGTTATCACTTGATGGTGGTGCCTATTAAATGGATGAGAAAGATGATAAAGGCGTTGACTGCAATAGAAGTTGTAGTAATGCTGTRCACGTTGTTGTCTAGTTATAAAAGGAAGTCAAGGGCTGTAATGAGATTTCCCTGGATGAGCTGACAGCTGGAAAGCCTGGACCATCTGTGAAGCTCAGACTGTCTTAGTCAGATGCTGAACATACAAACGTCTCTATAGCTATTTAGAAAAGTAGTAGAGATTTCTCAAATGCCAACAAAAGGACTGGCAGCCAATTAGACTATGGTACTGCAGATGATAGAATGGAATAAGTATTGTACTTTTCTAGAAGATAGATGGAATATTCCTTTGGAATTGTGCTGTTCTCTCAAAGGACATAGAATTCCTCCATTGTAAATGAGATTGGCCCTATGAGCTCTGCATGAACAMATTTAGATTTAGAAATACTGATGAGATCTAAGAATTTTCAAGGTAGATGCAAATGTTATAATAATCTGCTTCTTATTCCATTGATGTCATTGATGAATAAAGTGTCACATCTCCTTTCATCTCCAGTGATCTCTGCAAATGTTGCTTGTTTGACCTTCAAAATCGTCATAGATGTAAGTGAAAACTGTAGCATCAGWTTTAGCAGGCTAGCATCACAACATGAATAAATATCAGTTAATCAATGTGTTCTACACAGTAAAACAGAAGTGTGTTTTTCAAGGTCATACAGGAGTTGTTGTCAGAACCTGAATTAGAATTAGGCTGCACCTGGGTATTTATGTAAAAACTGAAATTAACTCATTTTCATATGTGGATTTTTTTTGTTTGTTTATAAGAATCATCTCAAATACTTTCAAATATGAGCCTGAAGTCTCATGGCCTTTGGTATTTTAGCAGGTTTACATGATCTATGACTCTTCTAATTTCTGTAAAGATAACTAGCATTTCTCAGTCAGGTGGTAGCATTTTTCTTTGGTTATGGAAGTAGAGCTTTTTAAAAACAGTTCTCTAAAATTCAAAGACAACAGTGTGCCCCCAATACRTTGTCTTAAAATACTGGCAGCCTTCTATATGATTTGTAGAATGTGGTAGACTTTCTTAATTGGTTTTGATATCCAAGATTAAAGGCCTCCCGTTACAGATTCCCGAAACACAAACATCGAAACATCTGTGAGGGATAAGGCATATACCTAATGGCACAGAAATACACAATGGCAAGTGCAGAATACGTTTACCTGACTTCTGGTGCTGGAATTCCTACCACAATGCAGTCCAATTGCACTTTGGTTCCCTCGGGAACTTCCCTGCTCTTCAGCTTTTGTGTAAAGCGTGGTGGTTGTCCGATGGGCTCATCAGAATACACAGACGCAGACTCTGACTCGGGTTTTAACTCTGCACTTGCTAATTCATCAATAGATTCCAAGTTTGCCACCTGATGATCATCTGTTTTTTCAAATGTTTTCTCTGCTTCATTTTCCAAGTCTTGAGGTATTGGAATGGAAAGTCTTTCTCTGTTTTCTGATGTGTTAGAAAAGCTAGAGCTCCCTTTCTGAGCAGACTTATTCTTAGAATCAATTTTACTCCKGTAGTTTTTGCATGTGCGGGGTCTTATTCTTTCCGAGTTGTGAGCTTTAAAAAGTGAGGAGAGCTCCTCAATAAAATCGGCTGCCTTGTTCAGGAATTCCTTTTTCGATTCTGATTCAGAGGGAAGCTGCTGTTTCTTCAAATCTTGAGAGCTCCCTTTGGAGCCCTTGGCATCTCTGACATGGTCCTGGGAAAAGTTGGAGTGCAGGCCATTGTCTGACGATTTCAAAGCTGTGGACTGGGCCGTTTGCTTGTTTGGAACTGCTTTTCCTGTGTTTTTCAGCGGGTCAGAGGGATGATGTGAATGTGTCTGAAGCTCCTCCCGTTTAGTTTCAAGTGGATTCTGATCAATAGCTTGTCTTGCGAGGTTTACGCTTTGATCCAACTCTTCTTGGCTCAAAAAGGCAGAGAGATCTGGAAGGTCATCTTGGGCGGCTACCTCGTCCGCATCGCCAGAAGTGTTGCCATAATGGAAATTGTGCGAAGCTGGTTCCGATCTACTTCTTTCTCTGTTCCCTTGATGTTTAGTTTCAGCTAAGTAACTTTCTCTCAGCAGCTGAGATATTGAAGTAGAGGATTCTAAACTGTCGTCTTGCATGCTGTCAACAAAAGGACAAAGAGGAGCACACCTTATCAACAGCAGATTTGTCGCTGCATAGAATCACATGCTTCTGAAAGCAGAACACAACATTTTCAAAGTGCATCTGTGTGCTGACTCTGACTTGTGAGTGCAGCCTTGGTTTAGAAAAAGCCTCTTTCTATACACGCTCCTTACCAGGTACTGTTGCCCAAAAATGGCTTAAGCAAGTGAGGTTTCAATGTCAAAATCTTTGTAATTGCTGATGTGTGAGCTAAGAATCCATTAGATTAAATAGTGGCTATTTCAAGGACTGAAAGTTATAAGGGAACAACTACTTTAAATAAATTTAGCTTAGAAGATACTGAGGTAATAAGTAGATGAGCCCTCAAAAGCATTTGAGGGATGAGAAGGGAAAGGGTCAGAAAGAAAAATATTCTATAATGTCAATTTTTGTCATAAAGGTATTGCATTATAGGAAGCAATAATGGTGTGCAACATACTATACTTAAATTAAGCATTATTTCTATTGAATTATCTATTTACAGTAAGTAGAGAATTATGTCATTATTCAATATGAATATTACTTATGATACAGACCTTTCAAAATATTATCTTACGTCATGCTAGTTCTGAAAAAATGTACCAAAGATGAGAGGGCAGTACTGGAATGTACTGGAATGTCTGACTGCCTGGTAAGTGAAGCTAACTCTCCACTTTCGATACTTAAGTCTGTACCAAATCTACCCAAAGTCAATATGAATGCAGAGTTCAGGCAGCCTATGAACACAATCATCTTAAAGTTGCTAATTATGGAGACAAATACTATTCACAACCTTTCTGATTTACCTTACTGCAGAAGACCACTGCAGAAACAGTGTCATCAGCAGAGGGGAATATGTCTTTGCCTCAGCTATTTCCCTTCATAGCTTTAGGTTGTAGCTTAAGATGCCAGAGAAAGAGAAAACAAATTATTTTTTTAAATTATTTTTATTATTTTTTTAAAAAGACATCTCTGATGTAAAAGGCATTCTGCTTTGCCGAAGGTGCTCCTGGAGAAAGGCTGGTGAAAAGGCAGCTTGTAATATTTTGTATTGCTGCAGTATTTACTCCATAAATATGAGGTTGCACTCTCTTTTCAAAAATGGAAGCTTCCTTTGACCTTTTTCCATTCTTTTTGTTGAATGAATGTAAAGGTATTATGTGTATTTTGAGACCTAAATCCCTCTCTCTGGTGTCTTATTTTAGTAAAATAAAAAGTAAAATCAGTAAAGACAACAAAGTCACTAAAACAAAATTTTGATAATTTTTTTAGCCTATAGGATAAATGACAAATTGGAGTATAAATTACATGCTTCTAAACACCTAGTCCTCAGCTCAGGCCTAAAGCTGAGCTGGATTCTGCAAGACTAACCAAACACAAATTGTCTGGCACCGTGTTTCAGTGAAGCTGTGGTAGGTAGGAGAACACGGATTTAGGAAGCCTGCATTAAATGCTGTTTGGAGGCGTTTCATGACTGCGTAGAAAATGTAATATAACCTCTTAGGAGAACAAAGAGGTCTCCCTGAGGCATAAAGTTCCTGCTCTGTACGTACGACTCCTGCTTGCTCAGCTTTTACTTCCTAAACAGCTGTGCAACCTCACTGAAGCCCAGTGCGGTTAAGGGGTTACGTTATCTTGTTTACGTGCTGATAGTGTACTCAGTGCTGTAAAGGTCACAGCTAAATCTACAGTTTCAACTCTGCAGATCTTATATACATTCTAACACCGGGAGTTTGCAGCCTGAAAGACAACCTTGCTCGTGAATGAACTGCAGATCTAGAGGAGGGCTATAACATAGGGCCAGGCTGGCTTGGGACCTGGACCCTGTGGAGCTTCTTTTTATCCTACTTAAAAACTGAAGGGAAGAAGCAGAGCCACAGCTGACTCTTGTTTTGCCGCATGATGCAGCTGGCTTAGTTTGAAAAAAGAGCTGCATGTGCTTGAAYTAGGAGGTCACAGGAGCTAGAGTCCCTCCTGGAAGGTCCGTGGAGGGATGCAGCAGCAGTACAACCTTGTTAATAAGATATCAGCCAGCTTTGTGTATCCTTGTGTGGTTTTAGATGCTGCAGAGGAAGGTGGTTATATCTTACACGTTTGGAAAACTATGACTATCGTATAACTTGTCTTGCTAAGTTTCTTGATCGCTCTTTCTGAAACTTTTCAGGAACACCCATCTGTATTTCATCTCAAAATCTGCAGATGTTGTCAGAGCTGAAGAAAGGCTAGAGATCTTTAGAGAGCACTGGTCAATCTACAGAGGAGATGCAAGTAGAGAAATAAATACTGGGTGATCAAAACCTGTTGCAGCCAATAAAAGGTAAAGGGCTACTAYATTAGTTGTAGCTTGGAAATCATCTGGTTTATGAACTTATCTGACTTTGTCTTCCTCTCTGTTTGTGAGATCTTACTTGGACTTCTCATTTAAGTGCCATGCCTATTTCCACACAGGTTGTTAACCAAAATGCAACTTTTTTGCAGGCAATCATGGTAAAACAACAGTTTGTTTAACATGAATATGTGGGGCTTTGTTCTGGGTCTTGTGTGTCTCCTATTTATCTTTTGAACAAAGCTTTGAAACACAAAATAAATAATATCTGTTGAYTCCTTCTGATATGGGAAGACTCAAGCAAAATATGTTTGGAGTGACAAAATAGCTGTACGAGGTTAGTCTGAAARGGTATGGTGCAGAAGCCACTGTGTGATAACAAAAGGTGAAAAAACACATGAAAATACAAAATGCTTGCTGAAATGAAAGTAGTAAAATCGGAACATGCTTGCATTGCTGGTTTGTTTTGTCAAGCTATAGTGCAGCTGCACAAAGCACCTTCCGTTCAGATGACCAGACCAGGCCACACGTGAAAAAGAGAAAGCCATTTGTCTGAAATGGTCACTCAGGGACTATAACAGCCCTGGCTCTACCCTTCYGAGGACAGCTGAGCAGGTGTGAATGGGAGGAAACTTCTCAGCAGAGGAGCCAGAACAACTTTCTTCCTTCTGACCATGCAAGCAGAAGAGCCGAGGGCTGGCATGGGGAGGCAAAGTACTGGTGAGAATGAACCTGATGCCAAATGYAGGCTGCAGACAGCCTGCACCTTTGTTCTGAGCACACTCAGAATCTGAATATTGCTTCTAACTCTTCCCTATTTTCAGCTTGTGCAGAAGATGATTTTTATTCTATCTTTAGAAAGGGAGAAGTTGGATACTAATTGAATGTAAACTTGGCTGCTGTATTTTTAACATGTTTTGAATGACGTGGCATATCTGATCAGATGGAGAATGTTGAGTTTCCAGACAACTCAGTTTTGAGTCTTGAGAGACATCTGGTTTCTGTTTTTATCTGCAAGGAGTGGGACTCTCCAAGCAGTGGAGAGGGCTGATGAGTGAGGGAAGCTGAAGCCATCCTGATTTCATAGCTGGGGATAACACCTTTGTTTCCAATGAGGCCCAGCATGCAAGCAGACAAGGTCTCTGGAGCAGAGAACAGTAAGGTTAAATTCAGTGTATTTTAGCTCGATGTCTTTTCAAAAATATCTTTTCAAAATGTCTTTCCAATCAGCAAAAAAGTGCTACCAGAGGAACAACTGTTATGTCCTAGGATTGATTAATGATAAATAATTTGCAGCCTGAAAAAAATCTGTCTTAATGAACCAGTATCAAGGGACCAAACTACCCATCATAGCTCCAAACAGTGTCGTTTAGGACTGCAAAAGGAGAGCCACCAGCAGCCAGTAATTCTCCATTCTGGTTCATTAGTCACAATACCAAACACCCAATGCACTGAGGGCAACAGTTTTTGCTCTTGCTGTCAACTAAGACACCAGCAGCAGTGACCTTGGGCACCTGTTGCTACTGAGAGGCATCAGAAGGTGTCACAAACAAGACTCACTGCATGTACTTGTAGAGGCTATTGAGCTAGTTTCCATTAGCCAGCTAGCTGCCCAARCATGCCGTGCCTGTATTTATTAGTTAAGCTATCTTCAGGTAAAATACACCCAAAGGGAGAATTAGCTTCCACTGTTTTGGCAGTGATTTGACCTAAAACTCATTTTGTGGAAACTTGCCTCGTGTGACGCGGTCGAGCCTTTCATTGCATGAGCCTTATTAGAATGGTTGCTGAGTCACTACTGAAAGAATCTGGGCACTTATTAAGAAAACAGCAATAGTGAAATCTGAAAATCAAAACTGAAGGGATTCCTGGGTATGTCTGGGGGCAAGACATCTTTGTTTCTTTTTCTTTTTTTTTTTTCCAGTGATAACAGACATGTTTTAAATACTTGATGCCCTAAAGACAGTTTTTTCAGACAAACACTATTTTACTTAAGTGTAATAAAGATGTTAGCTGTAGATAAAGCATTTAATCACTTGATTTGTTCTTCAGGTGGATTTAAAAATGAGTTATTAACTCAATACATGTTGTTCCTGTCTGACTTTTCAAGCTACTGTAAGTCTAATATTAGACTGTTTTACATGAAATTCAGGTATGAGAGCGTGCAGCAAAGCTGCTACTTCGCTTGCATAGTGGCACCTTTGAGGGCTTTGCCATGCCTCTTTTCTGAAGCTGGAAAATCTGGCAAATATTAGAAGCTATATCCCCTTCCAATTAATTATTTGCAAATTGGTTCCATTTACCCATACACTAGGAGTTGTATGGATGTTTCAGCTGCATGATAACCGCTATGAAGATCAAGCTAAGAGGTGACGGAAGTGCTGTGTCTTGCAGACATTTGAAGATCACAGTCACATTCTTCCGTGCTTGCAGGAATTTGCACTTTGCAGTTGCCATTGTCGCTGTTCCCATTGCTGCCTGTTGACATGTGGTGGCTGCTGCAGGACAGATTTTTGAAACTCCAGGCACATGAAAGGTTAGGCTGGAGTAGAGGACTAAGCTTAGCACACTCGTATGGGTCTGAGTATGGGTGGAAAAGGGTGTAAAATTATTTTTAATAACTGTTTTTAGAAAGCTACTTGAAGTCGGGTACTCTTCTGTTTTAAACACATTAGTACTTTGAATTCCACTTCTTGTAATGAATCAGAAAGCCAGGTTACTGAACTCCCATTTCCAAGTAAYGTAATTAAGTAATGGAATTTAAAGAGGGACCCTCCAGGCCCTAGAGCGAAGCAGCATCCGATGGAAACAAAACTCCCCTGAGAACAGGTAGGATAAAGGTTATGTCTGGGTTTAGGAAACCTTCTACTTGATCATGTGTATTTTTCAATACAATCTTTTTAATATTCTAAGTATGATTTGCATTTTCTTTAGTCTCTAATTCATTTTACAGTTTCCAGACCTTAAAGCTGGCTTAGAATAAATGAATTGGATTGTATGAGGCAATTGTATGGTAGTTGTATCTTGCTCACTGTTATATAATTTTATAAATAGTGAAAAAAATAGGCGGCACTTTTCTAAATTTCTTCACATATTGCTGTCGTTGTCTTGAACGTAGATRCTGTTTAAAAGTTCCCTTAACTATAGTTATAACTGAATTATGGCTGCTGCTGCTTCTGTTCGGGTAAGCAGGATGAGGCTGCCCTCTGCAAATATGACCTTAGCTACATTGCAGTRTAAAACTGAAGAAACTCGGTTTAAAGTGTCCTGGATTTAGTTGGAGTAGCTGTGAATCACTCTTCTCATCTCCCGGCCTCTCTGTCTTTAATGCCAAACAGTTGCATTTTTAAGCAGTTTCAAGTGCAATGCAAGCTTTTCCTTTAGATCATGAATGTTAAAACTGGAGAGTGTGATAGGAAGCTAAAGRGAAGAATGAAAGGGAAAATACAAAGCATCCAATATTTGAAAATTGATGAAATTATTTTCAAATCATTCTTTAATGATCTGTGAGTTGCCTCATGTCTCTTGAATACTCGTGATTATGGATTGGGGCCTTAACTGGTAAAACTACTTTTAAACTTCCTTTAAATTTACATTCCTACCTAGATTTTCATAAGAAAGGGAATAGATAATTGAATAATTGTCTATATATAGTTAAACAATATAACGCTAAATAATAAGTAGATTTAATTTATAGATATATTCAATATGTGAATACTTTATAAATATTATGTAAATAATATAAAACTAGAAGTAAATGATCTGAAGCTGTAACTGTTTAAAAGAGTCTGTATTTCTGTAGCAGAGAGTTCTTCTAGACTTCTTTTTGAGGTGATGTTATTGTCTTCTGTGCCTCTTTTTCTCTTATTTGGAAGTGTTTACCATTTCACCTATTGGCATTTGAAAATGTCCTAAAAGGTAAAAGCACCTATTTTAAAAGAAACTTCTATTGCTAGAAATGTGGAAGTTGAAATGTGTTCTCCCTCATTACGACTGTATTTTATCCCCATGTCTTTTCCTTTTTCCGCTGTCAGCATAATCACACAGGCCACAAAAGAAAGAAGAGCTGGCCTTGATGCTCCCAGAAATGGGATGGGATAAATCCTCTCRTTCCACCAAAGATGCCTGTGCTTGCTCGGAGCCAAGCCACTGAACGCTTACCTGGCCTCTGACCTCAACGCTACAGTAGCGGRACGTCCTGACAGCATAAAATATTTAACTCTTCTTCAAGGTAAAAAGCACACTCAAATCTCTTCATCTTTTTAAAAAATTCCTTCATGCTATTGTATAATAGAAAGACTCCTGTGTTCTTTTTAGTCCGATCACAAAAGAAAAGTCTTGATTTCTTCATATTTAGTACTGTCCCTTAGTGTTGTTCAACTTGAGAACTTCAGACCCTTTCCTACCCTTGCTTTAAATTCTGTGCCCCTTCATCCTTGCAAACACAGACAAACCACACTACAAGGCCTTCAAACTGCCAATTCTCTTTCAGGAATTGTAACCCACATCACTTATACCAGGGCATGCCTTCTATCCCTGCTAACTGCATAAGTGAGCAGTGCAGAAATCCCCAATGCATGAGGCTGAGGATTACTAGAAGCTTTTAGTTCAGGACTGAAGATACAACTTAGCTTTAAGTGTTAAAAAGTGATTTAAAAATCTGGTGCATCTTCACCCTAAACTGACCAATTTCTGTAGCATATGAAGYGCTGTAGTGGAATTCACACAGCCTAAACACTGAGCGACATTCTCTCTGCTGCACCCAGTGGGAAAAGACTTGAAATTGAGCCTTAAATTAGACACTTAAAAAATTAGGCACAAGAAATGGCAGACTTGTTTTTCTTTATATGTTTTTTTCTACTTGCACCTTTTTCTCTCTTTTTTCACATTCTCACTGTATGGTCTCGCTGTATGTTCTCTCGTTGTCTGCTGCTCTTGCTTTTTAAACTTTTTTTTCCATCTTCTGTTAGAAGCTTGAAACATAATAAGCTGCCACAATGGATTCATAATTAGTAATTATGATGCTTAAGTGGGATTTAAATTAGGCAGAATCCTTGTGGAATACTACTGTTTACAAAAACAAAACCTAATCCAGTTATTATTAACAGTGAACTGTGGTGGTGGTGTTGTTACTTTTTGTTTTTTTTGTTTTTGCCAGCAATTTAGACTATGATTTTGATTGCATTATCCAATTGCTGTTCCATTTGTATTCTCTTATAAAATATACCTAGGCTGCTAATTCCAAGCAGCTGTTGGTCAGAAACATTCCAGTGGTACCACATCAAAACCTATTGTAAAATCTGTAAGGAATGCAGAGGAATAGCAAAGCAGCGCCCGACGCCCACTTCGCTGTCATTCTGCACAGTCTGGCAAGTACCAGACTTCACTCCTGAACTGACTGTAAATGATATCGGATAGGAAATTGGTAGTTCTGTTCAGCTACCAGAACTTAGAAGCTTCCTGTTGTTGTTTGATTTTGTTAGTGCTTTCTGAAAGGGGAAAGTAAGTAAATATCCTGACCTTAGGAGCCTTCAGCAGGTGTGGAAGAGGAAGAGCAGCAATGTTGAAGTTTATGAAATGGTTCCATTAACACTTGCTGATTTTATTTTCGCTACTAAACTCTAGAGCTTCTTCAAAATGTAAAGCTAACAATGAAAACAAAACTGCTGATAAGTGCATGGTGCCTTTAGTGTGATTTGTACAAAGTTCTGTTGACGTAAACTCAAGAACGTCTCTGTTCTCTTGTAAATTGTTGGCGTATTATTTTGTAAAATTTAAGATGGGCTTCTGATTACTGCTTAATGCTGCAATATATTGGGCCAAACATTTGCCACTGACAGTCAAATGCTTTCCTGAGAGAGAGAGAAAGAGAGCAGGGGAGATAGGGAGCTCAGGGGGAGAGCTATGCCCTTCTAGCAGGACTGTTCCTGCAGCTGTTGTGTACATTAATCCAGAGAGCAGAGCTCCCAGCACTAAATATAGCCAGCGGGGTCATTTTACATGACAAAATAAATAAATAAATAAATGATAGAAATTATTTAACTATTGGGTTGTGTTAAATCAGCCTTGATTTTGTTTAAGAAGGCAATTTGAGTGACGTTAGCCTGGYTAAAGGGTGAATACCAGAATGCCATTATTTCAGAGTGTGGAGGGAGGAAGAAAATACAGTGCCAGCAGTGAACTTTTCAGGTCATTCCTATCTTCTGTTGACTTTCCGGAGGAACCAGACTGGCTCCAAGGGAGTTTTGAGACCACCAGGGATATTCAAGCCCTTCATAAAGCTGCAGAGCATTGTTTCTCTTCCATTGTGATCCACRTGCCCCAGCGTAATTTAAGTCAGCCACTTAAAACATGATTTACTCCCTGCATTTGTCTTAGCAGCAATAATTAACATGCAAATATACAGGCTCACCTAACCCCTCTGCACACATGCAGCAAAATCAGAACACAGACCAATCTAAAGTTGAGGAATTACCTTTTTGAATTTATCCAGATGTCKCTGCCCAGCGCTGTCAGTGAGCAGGGATGCCAGTTATCCAGAAGGGTGAATTGAAAGCTGTGGAAGCAGGGAGCTTCTCCGAGTCCTCCGGAGCAGCAGCAGCCAGCTAGGAGTCCATGCGGCGAGGGAGGCTAGCCTCCCTTTTTCTGAGGATGGCTGCAAGAAGCTGGACAACCTGTCACCACCGGAGCAATCGCGGTTGTCAGTGTGCAGGTCCCGAGTTATTTTGAGCCGGGGGAACCATGTGCCTGCGGAGCATTCCAGCTCATTGGACAGGAGAGCGTGGAGCACAGGGGTCCTGCCGCGCCRGCAGCACCTATGGGCACCGAGTGGCGGCTCGTGCCCCGCCAGCCGGCCGCCGGAGATGCTTCTGCAGGTTCTGCTGATTCATCCAATCCATATTGTGTTCCCCTTGTCCGCCCRCCTCAGCCTTTTAAACAGGATTATTCTGCTCCTTAACTTTAGCTTTTGCCTGKAACTCAGACATTTCCATCACTGGGAAACCCCTTGGCAGGTAACGATTTAAGTTTTGCAGCTCCAAACTCAGCAAAAGTGTGCAGGGGGATTATTTTTCATAACTCCTGACTTCTCAGTGTTCAGTTCAATAAGTAGTGCAACAAGGCACAAATCCGTACAGATGACCCGTAAACCAAACCCTCTGAAAGGCAGAACCTCCAGGACGGCTACTGAGCGCCCAGGAATAAACTGTCTGGGGAAAAATAGCTTGAAGAGGTAAATGAGACTTAGCTGTAAGTCTCAAACTGAAATAGTAACAGATGTTAAATAATTTCAAAGTACTTCAAGCAATACACAGAGAACGCCTATTGTTATACAGAATACCACTGTAAAATTGATTTTTCTGGCGCAAAACAGGAGTGACTAAAATCTACCATATATCACTTGGGAAACGTAGAGACGAGATTTTCTTTTCTACTCACTCTAGATACCAGCAACAACAACAAAAACATCTGTGTAAGTAAACTTTCCAGCTTATCAAAAATGATGCTTGATTATTGATATATTATTTATCAAAAATGCTAGTCACAAAGCCATTTTTAGAAGATTACGTGATGATATGTATGTGTTAGAAGCTAGCCCTTTCCCCAGCTAATTGCATAACTAACTGACCTTTAGACTTTCTTCCAATTCTGTCATAATGCATCAAGTAAGCTCCTTTGCTAGCAAAGAGGCCCTTTGATAAGATGTAGTCAACAAGACTGTTTTACATGCATAACAGTATGAAAAATCATAGGTAAAGGTAACCCTAACTACCCTCCTAACATCTTGAGGGTAGTTTTCTTTCTTTTTTCTCTCTCTTTATAAAATACAATTGTCAGAATAGCGTGTGAACATCAGTTTGATTGGTGATGATCAGTGTGATTTCTTCTGTGATACAGAGAAATTGTATAGTGAACCCATACCTTCTTTTGGGGGGGCAGGATAGGAATTTTGTGCATTTGGTGAGGTGTAATGTAGGTTTATGCCTGGAATAGAGGTCAACTGTGTTCTTTATGCTAGTTGTAACAGTTTTGCACAGTGGTTTCCGGCTTTCATTTCCAGGAAAACTCTGAAATACTTTTATGGGAGAATTTCCAATCATGGTGCCATTTGCCATGTCTAATCTGAAGATTTTTTTGCTTTACAATATGATATGGCTTAAAATACCTTAAGTATTTTAAACACTTGTCTGTAACTTAATATGGCTTTGCAATTGTTTATAGGAAGTGATTGTGTGTAATAAGACTTTAGGGTAACTCTTTAGAGATTATACTTTAAACTAGTTTATGTATCTCTAACTGGCTGGTATTTGGGGAGTTGGGACAGGAAGGAGGAAACAAGTTTACTTGATAGCTAAATAATCTGACAGGACTGCTATATATAGGTATAGGTATATATATATACCTATATATATAGGTAATTCTGTAAGTGCTTTGCTGGATATTAACTGAGGTTCAGTTCTGCAATTTGCTGCGCAACCCAGCAATTCAGCTGACAAAATGCACTGAAACTTTGGAAATCAATTATTAATCCTTAAAGTCAGTAGCARTTATATAGTTTCTGGCTTCCACACRTAGAATCTAATCAAATTTAACCATTCTTGACTGTGAGGGCAATTAAGAAAATAATAAGGAGGCCAGCAGTTTGCAAATAGTTTAAACAGTGTGTGGCCATTTAGTGCATGTTAGGCAAAATTATGCAATTCAAAGTGATCGTTAACTGAAGCCTCTATGATCCAAAAATACACTTAAAATTTTTCAATTGCARAAGGGACTTTTAAGTAAAATGCTAGAACTGCAAAATCATTGAACAATCTGTGCAATAAATGAAGTAAGGATTATACAGAAATGACAGCACCGAGAAACCTTGGTAGTTATAACGGTGACAGGCTGACCGTAGTAACAGCAAGCAGTCCAAGGGCAAAACTTGTAGGGATCACAAGAAGTTAGTGTATACACAGCTAACAAGCAGGTTGTTGAAATGCCATCGTCCTGCTAGAGCAGCGTCAGAGAATTTCAGATTTACTGGTTTGCAGATGGCTGGGTAGAGTCCATGGAAAATATGGTTGTATCTCTGTAACTACAACTTGAGAGGACAGTCAAATTGTGCCTTCGACTGCTGAGCACTAAAAAATCTTACAGTGGCACTTGGAAGCGCCGTGGCCTGCAGCTTTGTGTCGGTCTGGTTTTGCTGGTCAGCAGAATGGAACATCTGCCTCTCCAGGGTAAGGCTCAGTGCCTGAGAATAAATTACACGGGCATCAGACATACTGATATTCCCCATATCTTGTCACTGAAGCAGATGAGCTCTTTTTTGGGCAAGTGGTTAAATAGATAGGGTTGCCATAATTGATTTCAAGGCTGCCAGGAAGCCAGCAGTGTATATATAGGACAGTGTCACGTACCTAGCTTGTGGCCTGTATTTGTTTCATTTGTTTGGAATAAGGAATTCATCAGGAAGAAGAACAACTGTGTGTCAGGCTGAGCCTTACCTGCTCACAGCCTGTCAAGTGCTTTAGCTAAGCGTTTGTCCCATGAAAGGGTCTGTGCACACTCAGGTATCCTTGCCCATAAAACCACCTTTTTCTCACGCAGCAGAGTCTCGGCTAATGAGAGCTGAAAATGATTAAAATTGCCTTTGTCATTTGTTCTAGCGTTCTGATAGGATTTTAGATTGAGATGTTTCTTAAATTCCCATAGACAGCTCTGGAAACAAAACTGAAACGTTCCATTTCTATGGAAGCATCATTCCTCCTTAAAACTCTTTCCAGGCAATTTCCAGTGATGCTGGGATTCTGCAGCTCTCCAGGGAGCCTGTGGAGCAGGAGGTCACACAGCAGCTTTCAGTTTGCATCCCACTGGCTGCTGAACTMCTTCATCCCAAGGCAGAAGGCATTGCTTTCCAATCTGGAGTATGAAATGAGGTAGGCTGGCTCTGACTGATTGAAGGAATAGCTCCAGAAGAGAGGCTTGACAGTTCTGTAATCTGTTTGCAGGTTGAGCCATAAAATAGGCACAACAATATCATCACACTAGCTCATTCCAAGGGCAGTGAATTGTTCTCTGCTGGTGCAGTTTTGGAGAGCACTTTGTCTTTTCTTAACACCACAACTGATCACAGATGCTTTATGTTTAATGGTCCAGTAATTTGAACAGCAAGCTTTATTTGCCCTTTAGCTTATAGGTGTGTAGTGGATTATCCTAAAGCCGTATTCTTTTGGTAAGAAAAATGCCTATAGCAGTTCTAGATGTTTCTGGTAATGCTAGTTCGATAGTGATCTGCAAACCACATGTAAGATAATATCAGTTGGATCTTTTCTATTCATATCTTTATGCACTGCATTTCTTCCCATAAGCCTTCCAGGTATTGTGTGATTCCAACTCAGATGCTAATTTTAGAAGAGGAGACATATCACAAGGATGTAAGAAATGGTTGCTCTTTTTCTGTAGATAGCACAGATAGTAATGTTGAAAAAACCCTTCGATGTCTGTTCCTTTTTCAACCAGACCAAAATTTTCATTGGTTTTATCATTGCCAGGATAACACTTCTCTGAGGTCTGCCTGAGTTTCTCTACAGAGCTTTTGAGTCTCATGGTTATTTGGGTGAAATGTACTAGTGATTTATAGGACCTGATGCTGTTTCCAGTGAATGAGTGATTATTCTGTCACTAACATCAATAGATTAGCCAGACTTTTCCAAACAGTTAGATATAACTACAGTAATAAAAAGAGTTTTTCAACCATCCACACACAGAGCACAATCACTTCTGCTGCCTTCATCCAGTTTAATCTAATGTTGCACTGATCTGATCTTCAGTATGAATCACAAAATAAAAATACAGCAGTGCTTTTACTTTGTTTAATGTTATGAAAGCTTAAAAATATTCTAACTTGTGGTCACCAGCTCTCCTTAGCTAGGCAGACCTGGGATGAAGAGTTTGGTAGCTGTGAACTCAGTGTGTGGTGACCAGGAAAAGTAGTGACAGTCTTTGTGTCAACGTGTCAAGCCAGGGGGTGGCCTGTGAGGCGGCAGCAGCAGCGTGTTGACTGACTGTAGCTAGAGGCAAGAGCCTGTTTTCCCAGCTCTAGGCTGTCTCAATTCTGCAAAATACTCATTGGTGACATTTATATCAAGTGTAGAGTTAGACTAAATGTTAGGAAGTTTAAAAGGTAAGCAAAGCTAAAACCTAAGGGGAAGAAAAAAGGAGGTATCAATTAAAGAAGAAATACCTGGTTCCAAAGACTGCTAAGTCTGAGTTGGAGGATGACTATGCACTTTAGGTGCCCCGAGGAACCATTTAGAAATAGAAGTCTCAAGGGAACTAGAAGAGATCGGGGAGTCTGTCTAGCCTTAATAGTACAGGGAATTTTCAGTTCTCTCTGTTTTATAACTTCTCCCATTTCTATGTCCTATATACCAGAAAGAAATATTTTCTATCAAGAGGGATTGTGGGAGAGGGCTGGCTACAAAAGGTAGTTTGTGGGATGTAGCACTTGCAGACGTACTTCTTCAGACTGGGTGCAGGTACTGGATTTTTGCTGTAATCCTCCAAGTATATCCCAAGTGAGTTAACAGGCAGCGTGAGCTGCTGTTATTTGCCCCACGGTGCATTTAGAAAGGCCTGGCTCTGCCCTACTATCTGATTGTACAGGGAAGGTGATAAAACAACTTCTGCAGCTCCACGGCTACTAAAATACTCCTCCTCTGTGGAAAAACAGTGCCACGGCACAGTCTGGCTGGTTTTGGCATCATTCTCAAAGGCTGAATCTCTTTAGGTGACTGATTTGAGAAACAGTTAATGTTTCACCAGCACTTTGATGTGTCACTTGCTCTCCTCCCTTGCCTGGAGCTCAGTTTACCAGCCCCTCCCGGGTCTCTGGCACTGGCTCTGGCCCTCTTTCACTCCTGCTGCCTCATCTGTCTGGAACTCCTTCCCTCTGGCTTCTGAGTCACCTTCCCACTTTAAATGCTTCTCTCTTTCATTGTAATTTTAACCTGACTTTCATTAGAATACAATTTCTGAAAAATTATATGTAAATCGGTAGCAAAAAAAAATTCAATGTAGTTATTGATGAATTGTATTGATGAATTTTCAAAGAGAAAATGATTCTGAGAGCAAACTTTCATAATGGGCAGCTGTGAGAATTACAGTCCTTTGATAATACCAGCTTATTAAACACTAGCAGTACCTAAACCACTCAGTCTAGCTAAAGAACAAGCGTTATTCCGATAACCTAAGCTCCCTTAGCAAAGCAAGGATCATGAAACAGAAGGAGCAAGAGGTTGCCAAGTGTGATTTTTGTGTAAGCATGTAAAAGAGAGAGAGAGAGAGAGAGAGAGAGAGATAGGATATAGCTTTTCTATTAGGAAACTACGTAAGACCTCAAAGTCATGTCAGGTGAACTACCAGGTAAGTAAAAGAAGTTTATAGCTCCTTTCACAGACTACATTTAAGCCAGTGGTTCTGTTCACACAGCTGATAGTCTCCTGAACCATCTAATTTATAAACGCTCCAGTTTGCCCAATGGAAGGAGTCAAAAGATATATCACAGGATTTAAAATATACTCTGATCTGATAAACCATGCATACTACAAGTCAAGTTTAGATCAACTGATAAAYCTGTAGCATATAGTAACGCCATGTGCTATCACACAAGTTATAAAAAGGAATTTTCTTTCTGCCTAGGGTGCCTTGGAAGATGCTTTTTTAGAAGTCTCACTTCCTCGTGTTTTACAAAAGGAAGAACATTGAATGACCCCAAATTGTGACGCTGTGGTAAGCATTTTTCATTTACTCTGATGAGTAAAAACTTTTTAAAGCACATAAGAACAGTTACAGTGTACTTACCTGTGTGTGTGTATGGGAATGCTATGCTTGAACTGAATTTTAGCAGCATATGCTTAGTGTTAAATACAATACTTGAACTACGTTTTAGAAGCATGCACTTAATGTTAAATCAGGAAAACGTAGTAAATTGAGAAAACATTTATTTTATAAAGACAAAGCTTATACCCTTGTTAAATAGTTAGAACACATGCTTTCAATTTCTGTACATTTCTTTTAAAATAAGGGTTCATACCTTTGTTTTATTGTTTTATTCTCTCTCTCTCTTTTTTTTTTTTTTTTTAATATGTGTATATGAAGGTGATATTGGCCAAGATTTTGAAATTTGATTGACTGGCAGCAGTTTCTTAAATCTATACTCTTTTTAGTGAAGCTACATATATTTAGGAGACTTACTTTGGAAAGGCTCAACCATAGTGTTTATAACCCATGCATATCATATGTGCAAACTATTCCTTCTGTATGGAGAGCATCTATTTTTCTGTGTATTCAGCTGCTGAATAAGATTTAAGGTGTTTTGCTTGAATACTGAAATTTAAATGGAGACTAGAGCAGGAAAGGGAGCCAAAACTCTGCTGTCATCATATTGTGATGGACAAAGTTTACAGAAATGCATTGCAGTTTGCTGACAATAGTGCATAAAAGGAGTATAAACATGCATTTATTTCCATACTTGCCATATTCATTTGGGTTTCTGTTGTAGCTAGGATAGAAAGCCATCAAGACTCAGTTAGTTTAAGTTGGTTTTAGCTCCATTTGTTTCCATTGAGAAAGAATTTACCCGAGCTGAGGGTTTGACGGAGAAAAGGACGGCTGTGACTGTCCCAGGGAGAGAGCAAAAGGGAAAGAACCCAGTGGGAAGAACTTGGAGGGTTTTTGCAGCTATAGACAAGATCTTTAGACAATCTTTAGACAAGTTTAGAAGCCCTAGAACTACTCTCAGATTTATATCTGTGTGTGTTTAAGGGTCATTTTCCTGCTCTAGAATCGTGTCTGGAAGCAGGAAGTCTCCTTCCTCTATAAGGGTAGGTATATGATATATGCATAGATATGTATGGAGACTGTCCAGTGCCCCTCAAATGACCATTTCTGACTGGGGTCAGTGATCATATTTAGTGGTGCCTTAGTGGTTTGCTGACATAAATGACAAGAGAGCCTTCATTAATCCAATGTGATTGATGAATTGATGATACCTCTCTCCCTATCCAAGAAAAAAAGGGCAGCTAAATTGCAAAGGAGGTTTGGCACAGGGGACTGCTCTGCAGTTTCTGTCTTGCTTTGGCTTCTCCTTTGCAAGCCTGAAGTTTTAGATTTAAATTAATTTTGTATGATGATAGTCCAAATAAAGAAAAGCATCGCCCAAAAAAAATCTGGAGAAAAATAAAYCATTTGTATTAAAAATCAGCACTAAATTTTTCTCCAAAATTCCAAAATCAGCAAAGTTTTAGAACTCTTCTAGTCCAATGCCAAGATTGAGACTTACATCATAAGAAATGCAGTTACAGCCACTAAGGACTCCCCGCTCTGACTGCTCACATACATTATTTGTGGAGCTCCTTAAAAGCCCTTACAAGAAAATCATTGTTCTCCTTCTTTCCAAGTGTTTTCACCTACTCTTAATATTTGATCCATTTTTGAGTAGAGATCTCCTGCACTGAAGCCGATGCAGGCGGTGCAGAGGCACTGCCTCCCTGACACTAACCTTCCGGGCCATGCTACACAAAGTATCTACCAGGTGTTGCCTGCACCAAGGTGGATCTTAGGCAATCATCCCTCTCTGGGTTTTGGCAACATACGTGAAATCGTGAGTCTTGTCCTGAATTAAATCATCAAAGGTACAAAAGCAACAATTTTTACTAGTCCAAAATATCTTTGTTCCAAAATATTCCTGTATTTTTGAGAGCTAACTGCCATCAGAAAGAGCAGAACCTAGTCAGAGTTCATTGGTCACAGTTTATGCCTCAAAGTTCCTTATTATTTTCCATCTATTCTTCTGGAGTCTCACAGGAACGGAGAACTCCATATATCCTGACAATCTTTTGGGCATGGGGCCCCAGGCTGTTGCAGCTGGGGCAGCGYGGTGCTGGCTTCCCGAGAGGGAAGCTGTGTCCTCGTCCCCAGCAGCAGTTTGCCTTTGCCATATACAAAGCTTTCCTCATAGTTGTCGTCTTCCTCGTTTGCAAGTCTTGTCCTGATCTGGCACTTTTTCCTTCTCTGTTTCTGTTTCCACACGCAAACACATCCATGCTCACCTTCCTGCCTGCCTTGAGGTCTTTTTTTTTTTCCTCTAAATCACGCTCTGGTAAACCAAGGGCTCTATCAGTTGAAAATGGAGCTGAAGGGAGGGGTGGCTGTCAGAAAAAACTTAGCCTGGCAGAGAGCAGGGGCTTTATCACGCTGTCTCTGGTTTCCATATCGGTACTATTTTTTTTTTTTTTTTTTTTCTCCCCTCCATTCCCTTTTCTGTTCCATAAATGCAAAGCTTCAGGCTGTGGATTAATTGCCCCATGCCCCACCTCAGAAAACAGCCCATCCCTCTCGTTTCCCCCCGTTGTCGCAAGCCCCCTGAGAGAGCAGCTCCCTTCTCCCTTATACCAGCACCATCCTTCCTCTTTCGCAATCAGGTCACTGAGCACCGGGGGCAGGAATTGCACGGAACGGCCCAACCTGGGAACGTGCAGGGAAGCCAGGGGTGCTCACCATGAAGCGCCACGCGCCAGCCGCCGTCCTGCGCCTCTCCTCTGCTCTTTGTTCTCCTCGCGCAGGCTGCTACCTTGCTGCTTGCTCTTTACGAAGTAGGAAGAAGGCTAATTTTAGGGTGCTTCATCATCCTGCCATGCAAAGCCACAGTGTCATGTCAGAATCAGCAGCATGTGGTGCCACTTGGAGCTGCTATTTTATAAGCTGAGGTTCAGCATGTTCTCGAGTTGGGCAGAACTGGCTCAAGGACTGATGTTGGGTTTCTGTAAAAGCGTGCTTGAAAATCAAGCATTAGGATTTCTGCCTGACCAAAAGTCTTGCTTGATGACATGGAAGGTTGGTGTCCTAGCATCCAACACGGAAACCCACTCCCTGTGAATGGAATGACATGAAAAAACACTGGAGTACATGGGAATTTCCTGGTGCTGTTGAAGAGTATAATGGAATAATTCATGCTCTATTGCAAAGTGCCATTCCAGTAGGAAGAAAGCATACTCCATGTGGGAAGGGACTGCATTCCCAGCCCTCTGCATGGGATGCTGGGAAATGTTGAGCATCTTCAGCCCCAACCTGCGGGTGCCCAGGCACTTGCTGTGTGGCTTCGGCCGCACTGCGGGGACACGGTGTGGTCACTGTGTGTGGCTGCTGCTCCCCACGTGGGCTCGGAGATCTTAGAGCCACGCACAAGTCAGGAAGCACCGGAGCTGCACAGCCACTGCACAGGTCACCTTGTTCCCCACGTTGTGCTCTTCCCATGCAGGTATGTGGTTGTCCTTCACTGCTTTTCTGTTTTCTTTAAATCTGTCATCCTTGTGGCTACCTCAGCCACCCTTGGGGGATCAGTACAATGGAGTGTTGCAGGTTTCTGCTAACATTGCAAAGAACAAAAGTACTAATGCTCATCTGCTCCTTAAACAGATTCCTCAATAAGGTGTCTTGAGTTGGACACAGAGGTAGAAATACTTTAGATTTAGCATTTAGGCAGCGGGTTACTTTCACGAAAAGGTCAAAACCTGTTCCTTTTTTCACCATGTCCCCATCAATTAAATAATTGGGCTTGCTAGTAAGCACAGGAATCACAACTCTGAGCAGGACAGGCAGACAGAGAACTAAAGCATGCACTTGACTGTAAAATAATAGAGCGAATAAACCTCACACATTTTGTATGTATGTGTGAGTGTGCCTGGCTATGTAGGTACTTTAATTCCCTAACAACCAAATATTGGTGCTGGAAGAACATAGGATGGAATGGAAAGCTGAAATGGCATCAAAAGTCTGTCCCTAGCCTCTTTTGCAAGGTTATTTGCATTCTAAAGCTTTTCCTAGGTCTTAATGAAGAAGAATCTTCCATGCAAAAGCTTTTCATCTCAGCTAGCAATTTCTTACCTAAAGGATACATTTGTTAACACTATATATAACTTCTTCAGTTTTGTACTGTCTGAACAGGTGATAACCTGGGGTACAGTTTAGAAAGAGAGCAATCACCAGGCAGTAGTCAAGCATTGCTATTTTAATAATGACAATGCAACTGAAAATACGTTCCAACTTGTTATGTCCACTAATGAGAAGGCTGTGCAACTCTAGGAGGAAGATTTCTATGCTAATGTACTTACAAGGGACAAATCCCTTTGCTGAACACTTAGGCTTCCTTTTCTCACTTTCAGTACAGTTTTATGAGTACTAGAATGGACACTGGAAATTTTGAGGCATCCAGAAGTTATCCATAGGCTCATCTATTGATATATGTCTATTGATATATGTCTATTGATATTTGTGTATGAACTATACATATACGGAATTATTTTGATGTGTCTGTACTCCTGGCCCAAAGATACCTTTGAAATTGTATCCCAAAGATACATTTGAATTATTTAACAGTAGTCTGATTTTAGCACTAAAATAATTATTTTAAATGAAATGGCTATGTCTGTTACAGAAGGAAGGTGAGGTTTGTGAGGCAGCATTATATGTTGCTTCATACCTTGCATGTGTCTTAATGCACTAGGCCAGTCACACCAAAATACTTGCCTGTGTCAGACTTCTGCTAGGCGTGTTACTGTTATCTTCAAGTGCATGGACACATCTCCACATGCTGGTCAAAGGACACATTGCACAACAAATGACTGTTAATATTTAAAATCTACTCCACAGTGTAACTGCTTGCAGGTACTATCCTGGTGGTCTCATAGGGAAAGGGACTTCAGACATAACAAAGTAAATATCTTCCTCCATTTGCTAGGTATAATAGCCACTGGTAACTTTCCTTTTATACATGTGTAGTGCAAAAAGGGCAAATTAGTCACACCTCTTCTTTAAATAACAGACCTACCCTGAAAGTGCTGCATCATGTGGGCTTCGTCAGCTGTGCAGCTATTTACTCTGTGTAGGAATTTAACATTTCTGGTTTGAATTTTTACTGATAAAACCAGTCCGAATGCTGAGAAGTCCTGCAGATTCTCACCTATTTAGATGCACAGTGTTTAAGGGCTGGTCTAAGCTATCCCATTTATTTATTTATTTATTTATTAAATGCTTTATGGTTAAAGAGCAAGCTACGTCAAAGACAACAAACTGCCTTATCCCATAGCTTGCAAAATCAGCTGCTCTAAAGCATGCCTGATCCCAGCCCTTTCTACATCCTGACCTACATAAATGTGGACCACTGCACTGCTGCGGAGGTCGCTAAATCAGGGAATTGTGCCTGGATTCCCAGTCCACTGCACTCCCAATCCACATAAACTGCAATGGATTTTCCCCACGCTCTCCTATTTAGCAAAACGCTATTTAAAAATAATGGTGGTGTTGCCCYCAGGACCATTCAGTTGTTCCAAACTCAGAATAAATAAAGCTACAGCCATCAGCCTAGGTAAGTTCAACATAATAGCACTCTTGCAGTATTCAGACTTTTAACTCTTAGTTTTGCTTTTTTTTTTAATTTTTTTTTGTTTAAGGAAAACTCGGGGAGATGCAGTTTCCTCAGCAGCTGCCTTCCTCCTTCATTCTCATTCCCCTTCTCGCTCGCGCGTTTCTCAGCTTCGCCTCTCGGTAGACAACTTCCACTGAGTGAGGGCGGGCGGCCTGGCTAGGGAGGCGGCGCCAAGCGGCCGTTAAACAGCCGTTAAACGGCCGCGCCCGCGCGCCCCTCCTCCTCGGGAGGGGCGGGGCGGGAACGCAGCGCCCCCCGGCGCCCGGCCGCGTGACGTCACGCGGCGCCACCGCCCCGCAGCACGAGGCCGGGGCGGGAGGAAGTGGAGCGCGCGGCGCGTGCGCAGGGGCGGTGGCGGCGCGGCCGGGCCCTGTCAGCGCTGCCGAGTGGGCGCCGCTCGCCCTCGCGTGCTGCCCGGCGAGCGCCCCATCGGATCGGACCGGATCGGGGCGCGGCGCGGAACGGAACGGAACGGAACCGCCGCCCGGTGAGTGCGGCGCGGTTGTGACGCGCCGCTCGCGAGCGGGGCGGGCGGGAGCCGCCTGCCCCTCTGCGGAGCAGCCGCCGCCCTTGGGCGCCGCGGAACACCCGGAGGGGCGGCCGGGCCCGCCGCAGCCCCGCCGCGGGGCGCCACGGTGAGCGGGGCCGTTAGGACCGTTACGGCAGCGCCTTTGAGGCGCGGGCAGGGCCCCCAGCGCGCCCCCCGGGACGCGCCTGCGGGGCGCGGCGGCAGCCGCCCGGCAGCGGCGGCGCCTCGCACGGCGAGCGGCGGCGCACGGGAAGCGTCCGGGCGCTTCCTTTGGCCCCGGTACTCGCCCTGTCCCGGGGGAAGGAGTTGGGCGGTTTCCTTCAGCCGTGCTCATCGGTGGCGGCGTCGCGCGTAGAGCTGACGACAAGAGGTAGCCTTCCTGAGAGGGGAGAAGCAACTTCCTGGACTCGAGATCAAAGTGCGAAATTTCCTCGGATGCTGACTTAAAAAAAGAAGAAGAAAAAAAAATCATGCAACAAAACRAACTTCTGTGAGGGAAAAATACATCTGCTTCCACGGAAAAGTGACCTCCTTTTCTTTTACTCTTCCATCTGGAGCTAAACCTCAACTCTGGAAATCCTGAGGCACTGTAATCCTAAATCTGTTTCAACTTCTTGTGTTGCAGATTGAAGTCCACATCGCTGCTGCTCTTATGGATGCGTGAAGGTTGCTGTCGCGTAGCTGTGTCTTAACCAAAGACGGCTTCGTTTTGATATTCCTGTCTGAATGTGGTAGGATATACCTAGTAATAGCTAGAGAAGTATTTGATCATGCATCGTGTCCTGAGATAGGTAAACTTAAATGCAATATGTTTTAAGCTGCTTAGCTTTTGTTTGTTTGTTCATTTGTTGCGTGACGTGGTGAAAACAGGCTTCTTGATTGCTGCAGAAACTTTTATAAAGAAAAAACTTCATCCTGTTGTCTTGGCAAAAAAAAAAAAAAAATCCATTCAGTGTTTTATAACGCTTCAGTGGAATCCCATGTTCCTATGAGCCTGAATCCTATCAGGTTCTTATGAGCACTTTAATATTTATTTAATTTATATATGTCATGACCTTATGTCAGCAGTATCTGCAGTGCATTTTACACTACATGCCTTCCAGACTAYGACCTACTGAAATCCGGCAAAAATTTTACGTTGTGTTGCACTGCTTCTTGCATTGCCATGAAAATACAGGGAAATTACTTGTTGTAGAAGCGTAGCGTAAATAATACTGAGTACRTCATCACAAGTTCTCTGTAATGCTGCATACTGAAAATGAAAGGCAGGGATASCTCTTTATCCTCTGCGAATAGGTACAAAGTCTGTGAGCACAAGCCGTGATGTATGCATTACGAAGCAGGGTTTGCATGCACAAGTTTGTGTGTCCTACCTGCAGAGCTATCTGTGAAGCTGTAGTCTGTGTTGATTGCAGTGCAGATTGGGGCCTGCTTTGCAGCTGTTTATTTTTAATACTTATCTGTTTATTTTTTATTGAAAGTTTACTTGACCCAGACTTGTTTAGATGCGTTGAGCGACACATCAGTTTATTCAATGTGTTGCGTAACTGGTTTGATCAGGATTGACCAATTTTTTCCAAGCTGCGAACCAAGTGCTGTTTTCAGGGAACTTCTGGAAGCCGCTCACAGTGCTCTCTGCTTTATCATGCCCCAAATCACACTGTCTCGTTAAAAGGCATTTGAAGTCATTTGCACCGGGTGGAGTTGGGTGTGATGGCCACTTGGGGTGGAACTGGGGGTTAAGGAAGTTTTATGAAGATAACTACACTTAAAACTTCTAAAGGTGTGCAACTGAGGCCCCTTGTATTTAAAATTCCCGTATAAAATCCCCTGTAAAAGCATCTTTCTTCAAAATTTATGTGAATGTTGCCTGAGACAGTAAATTAGACTTTCTGAACTCTTCTACTGCTTTGAGTCTTGGTATATAAAAATGGAACTTGGGGATAGTAGACTGTATGGGAGATGACAGACTTTATGCAATACTGAAAAACTGTGCATTTTTCTTTCTTTGAACAGCTACACAGAAGGGGAATTTTAGAAAGGTGAAGCTGGAAGATCTCTGATCAAGAGAACTGTAAACATGTTGTGTTGGGGAAACGCATCTTTTGGACAGCTTGGATTGGGTGGAATTGATGAAGAGATTGTTTTAGAACCTCGCAAAAGTGGCTTTTTCTTAAATAAAAGGGTCCGAGATGTGGGCTGTGGACTCAGACATACTGTTTTTGTCCTGGATGATGGGACAGTTTATACGTGTGGCTGCAATGATCTAGGACAACTAGGGCACGAGAAAGCCAGGAAGAGACCCGGTAAGTGCGAGGGGATTGCCCTGGGGAGTGCCCGTGCATGCATTTGTGCAGGTATCTTCCACTGTGTTGTGCTGCAAGCGCTGGCAGTTTGTGCATGTGCTGAATTGTATGCACAGTAGTTCTTCTAAGAATGGCATGTTTTTGCTTGAAAACATTCCGCTGCTTGGATCTCATCTCTCGACAGTTGGAAACAGCCGACTGTGGAATTGAGTATGCCCCCAGATTTTTGCTCAYTGTGTGGGTGGATGTTGCTACTGTTTTGCTTGTTTGTTTGTTTTCACTGTGGATTTATGCTATCCAAGGCTGTGCGGAATCGTAGACTCTTTTAATCCTAAGAGGTGTTAATTCACTTCAATATATGGGCTTCTGTTGTACTCTATTACATTTTTGGCTAATGGAAGATGGTTGAAATTAATACTTGCCTACCATTATTGGGAAGAGCACGGATAAGATTAGAGGATGCAGAGTAAAACATCTTTAGTGACTTTTGTCTTTGTTATGTATGTGTACTATGTGTACTTGTGCTTTGTCGTAGTACTGCTCTCTAGCAGGAGTGGGTAAACATCTTGTGGGGACTGCAAAAGAGGGTGCATATGGGCTCCTTTGGAGCTGTGCATGCAAGCCGTAGCTGCCTGCTGCTGAGAGACAGGGAATGGTGTTCCTGGCACTACGAGAGCATAAGGAAAGCAAACTGAAAAGCCTTAGCAATGCTTTATTTTAATATCTCTTAYAGCAGTATTACAAGTCAGTTGTTACAGTAATAGTTGCAAACATTCAGATTGAAATAATACTTTTTTTTCTTCCCCGAGCTGTTACTACACTTCTAGTATGTAATATTTTAGTAGTTATCCCTTATTCAGARTTTGAGATTTGGTGTTGAGCAGAGTTTTCCTTGCATAGTTGATGTATAACTCTTGAAACTAATCTTGACTTTCACCAGGAAACAGTAAATGTGTATTAGAAGTGGTAAACTTTAATCCTGTGTAAACATCTGCTGCATGAATGTGAATAGATTCAACTTGTGGAAGTAACTCTTAATAAATTCTGAGTATTTGTAACCCTCTTTAAAAAAAATCAACAATGCTTTCATTTTTGTTAATCTAAAAATTATGATAGAGAATCTGACTTTTTTCTTCCCTGTTTTATGTCAGGCTTCTCTGAGCTTTATCTGAGCTTTCCTGTGTAATGGACAAGTAGTTGCTATAAATATTTCTTAAGGTACTCAGACACAACAGTCACRAGAATTGCAGTATCCTCCTATTTTTACTTCTATCCAGAAATTACTGACAATATTACTGGATGAGTGTGAAGYGGGTACATTGGGCAGCATTTGTCTTTGCCAGGTCCCAGCAGTGGCTGTTCAGCTGTGGCTCCTTACTCCCCAAAGAGTCCAGATGACCCTAGAGTTGTGTGCATGTTGGATCCTTTTGTTATTTTATTTTGGAAACTGAGTTGCAGATACATATGTTGCARACATGATTGGCTACTGTTTTGAAATGGGCTTAGACTATGTTAGGCTGTGTTTACAGTCTGCATTACATTGATGATATCCAGGCTTTTTCAGTGTTGCATGGTTGTTAAGCCAGAACAGAATTTGACATGTTTGAGCATAAAACGTCCAGGCAAGCACTTAGTTAAATGGACTCAGAAAATGCCTGTCTCAGTGGCAGGCTCTGTTATGTTCAGCCTCTGCTGTTAGTGAAGTGAAGATGTTTAATTTCTGATCACAAGTCATAAGAAGAAATACATAGCCTGAATTCATCCAAATRAATTTAAAGGTATTGATGCAGACTACTGAGAGAAATCAAAATCCTGTAGTATTTGCTTTTTCAGATGTGCATTGTATGCCTGGAAAATTTCCCCTTTAAGATAGGTTTCTACAGCGTTTTACATCATAAAGAGAATATTGTGCGGCTTATTGCAAGATCAATAGCATTAGTCCTTAATTTTCCCTTTCTTGTTTTGCAAGTTTTATTTATTTATTTATTTATTTTTTTTAATGAATAGGTGAGCTTGAGTCACTGTATGGAATGTTTTCTTCTTGCATAATGTCTACATGTGTGGACACTTGATAATAATGTATTTTAATGTTAATTGAGTCTTTAAATGTCAAGGTTAGAAGAAATCATTATGGTCAAGTTGTACTTTTTGCATTTTTTTAAATTTTTGGTATATACAGACAGATAGAGTTGTTAGATTACTTTAGTGCATCAAATTTAATCTACTTCTCCCTGGATAACACGTATATGATTTTAGATATATGATATTTTGGCAGACTTCTAGACTCATTCATGTGGTTTCATTTTATACCTTAGTAGACAAATGTCTATGAGTTGTGACAAGTAGAATTTGTTCATTACTATCTCTTAGATTAACTTTTTCTTTTCCTTCCTTTTTTTTTCCCCCCCTCTGTAGAGCATGTTGGTGCACTGGATGCCCAAAATATTGTAGCTGTATCATGTGGAGAAGCTCACACGCTCGCATTAAATGACAAGGGTCAGGTATATGCATGGGGCTTGGCTACTGATGGACAGCTTGGCTTGCCTGGAACGGAGGAGTGCGTCAGAGTACCCAGGTTAAAAAATAAGCCTATAATAGAGTTACTGAGCTTAAATCATCTTGACCAAGTTATTCTGCTATTATAATTRAAAAACATGGGAAAAGAGTACTTGAGCTCTGACACTTGAATGCCATAGCCTGTTTATTATTATAGTATAAGAATTTTAAGAACAGAAATGGGGATCAATAACTGCCATTTAGTAGTTAGAGAAGCAGAATTAAACTTCCGTTACATTTGGATTAGGTTTGAAGAGGGCCCGTTTGCTGTCTGATTTTCATACCATAAGTCTCACCCTGMGCTTTTTTTTTATCTGTAATTTAACCATAGTCTCCAAGTTCTGAAAGTGAATGCTAGCTTACTTGCTGTACAGCCCTAAAGAATTTTATCTGGTGTAGTATTTGCGCTATGCAGTGAGCATGCCAGCAAACTGAACTCCAGAAAGCACACATTTTTACTGCAATGAATGAATTCACCAACATCTGTAGAATTGTTTGTACCAGTGAGTTTGTGTCTTTGCAGGTTGGAGGTTTTCTTTTCACCTTTCCTTAGTATTTTTATACAGAAAAGAAAAATAATAGTTCCTCAGAACAGTAGTCATTTGTAATTGGAGCAAGGCTATGCGTGACGTATAAATATAAATAATGTGTAACTGAAGCTCTTTTTTTGCATATTAAATTTGAAAGTCTTTTTAAAGGCTTTTATTGGCTTCTGTTTTTTTTTTAAGGCTTTTACCGGCTTCTGTTTTTTTCTCATCAAAAGCTGAAAGTAYACTGTTATATTGTATACTCGTTTCATGCACCTTTGCAAATATTTTCAACTTCCTCATGAAATTGTGCACTTGAACAATGCTTGCTGCTAGCTCTGTAAGCTGGAGGTTTGGTCCCTTTGAGGTTAATGTTAGTAGAAGGAAAAAAAACATATTTTAATTGTTTAAATTGCACAGAATATATTTAATTCTTTATATTTAATAACAAGGTGAAGTAGCAATATACTAAAAAACCTTTTATTCTCCCTGAAGACTAGAAGGTAAATGTCTCCTGATTCTTGCTTTCAGTATTCATTTTGTCCATTCAGCTGTGTGACATCTCCTTCCTAGTGTCTCTAAAGCAGGCAGTTTTCTAGTTCTTCATAATGGTTTCTTACTGACTTCATTCATTTAAAAATAAGACAGAACCTAGTCTTCAGAGGAGCTGGGAAAGAAGCTTTGACTTTAGACATGCAACTTTACTAAATAGCTTTTAATTTAAGTTGCAGTRTTTATATTACTTTCATTTATATTACTTTCATACTTCAGTGAAAAAGATTCACTTTTTTTTGTTACCCTCTCATGTGAGACTGCTTCATACCATGACCTAGTAGCTTAATTCTTTCTCTGTTTTCTTACCCCAATAGAAATATTAAAAGCTTATCAGAGATCCAAATTGTGCAAGTTGCTTGTGGTTATTATCACTCACTTGCACTCTCAAAAGGTAAGCCAGATTGTTCTGAACTGTTGTGTAATCTCCTGCTCAATACTTTTAAAGTTTTCAGTATTTATTTATTTATTTTAAAGGAAATGTCTTTCAAAACATGATACCGTATTGATAGTAGAAATATGATTTAATAGTGAATACTTCAATTGAAAAAAATGAACACAAGCTCCCTTTCCTTATAGAAAAATGGAGCATGTTAATTTTGTTCTCCTTTTTTATGCTTGTTGTTCTTTTTATTGTCGTGCTGTTGTGCAGTTTCCTTTTAAATTCGTTGATGCTTCTTTCATTTTTTTCTCATTCCACCTGTTCTTCCTGCTGGCCTCCTACTTTGTCACTAGTCTCCTAGCTTGCCCTGTATTTGAAGTTACTGAGGTTTGTAGACAATGACTCCCTCATCTACTTTTCTATTACAAAGATTCTGTTTCATGATGCTCCCATAAAATGCAGTATCCCCTTGTAGCTCACACTCTGGGAGACATAAATTTCTGTCTTCAAAACTTCTCTGGGTCTCAGAGACTGTACTTAGTTTTATTCACATCAGCTTTGCATGTCTAATTTATCCACCCAGAAGCAGAGATGAACATAAATTTACCTCTCATTTGTTTCATCACGAGAAAATAAATTGAACTGGGGCAAAAGTTCTGTTTAAGAGAAATGGCTGCAGAAATGATGACATTTTTGTTTATTGTTAGTAGTTAATACTGACCATATGTGCTCTCATACTGCACATAACTTTTCATAGGCATGTATAAAATGTTTTTGTGATATTCTGTATTCATAGGTGTCCTTGCCCACTATAACCTAGTGTAATTTCTTTGTTTGTGTAAATATGTAGACTGAGATTTTAAAATAACCCTTTGTCCGGATTACAGTCACAAATGCAATGTGGGGAGTAATAAAGCATTGATGTGATTTGGTGCAATAATTTAGTAGCAGCTTGATTTAAAATTCAACTCAGTGTTTTAAATAGTCACCAGCTTCAAGTACAGCATCACTGAGGAGTGCTCTTTCCTGTTCATGTATTTGCAGCTCTGTTTCTGTTCTTCAATTGCCTTGTGCTTTGGTTTTATGGTTTTAAAAGTACCTCTCTAGAATCTAATAAACAAGGTCAGCCACAGTCCTGACTTTGAAAAAACAGCCCTGCAGAGGAGGAGACTGATCTGGCCTATTWGAACTGAGCAGTTTCAGAGGAGGCTTCAGAGGAGTATTTTGGATCTGCATCTGGAGTATTGATCAGATTGGTTCATGTGATTAAAAGTGTGGCGTGTGTAGAATCCTTGCTATGAAGTTCTTGCTTTGCTTTTTTAACATTTTATACAAAATAATCTAGAGAGTTTGTACCCCAGGGGATGAGTTTCATTATTTTCCTCTTGATAAAACTTTTATTGGTTAAAAAAGAAGAGACAATAAAAGCAAAATATCTTTGTGATTAGGTGTTCATTTTTTTAGGTTAGTTAATGTCCTGGCATTAATTGTTCTGCAGAAGTCTTGCTTCTGAAAGTCATTTTTAGTGGAAATACCTATCAGATTTTCTTCAACCTATTTCTTTTCTTACTAATCCATCAAATGCCTTTATAAACACTGAACTTCATTGATCATTATCTTTAATATAATACTTAAGTTTAAAATATGCTGAACTTAAAACATGTATGAAACTTAAATACTTCTAATGTGTAAACACTTCAGTGCTTGGAAAGTGGAAATTTTTACATGCAGCTTCAGCATATTTTCTGCAGTACAATATAAGCACTAGTAGAATTTGCAGTGCATCAGTCTTGCTTCATAGTAACCAAATGCCACTTATCTGGCATTGATGATTTGACAGTGCTAAGAACAGTCTTGAAGGCTTTCGACTTGTTTTAAATACTTCAAGTTTGTTTAAGGTTTTTGGTTCAATGTCTGCAAATTATACTAGGAGGTTTACCTTTGAAAATGAACAAATCTTGTTCAGAATAAATTTTCTAACTCCAAAAATATTTGAAGAGGTGTACGTCGCTCTCTAACTTTGGCTTTTAGTTTTTCTTAAAGCAAGTGTATTTTACATGATTGAATTATATTTAATATATTTCTTTTTTTTTTTCTTTAAACAGGAAGTGAAGTATTTTCCTGGGGACAAAATAAATATGGCCAGCTGGGTTTAGGTTATGAATATAAAAAGCAAACATCACCACATGTAATTAAGTCTCTGCTGGGAATCCCTTTTGCACAAATTGCAGCAGGAGGAGCTCATAGTTTTGTACTAACTCTTTCTGGAGCCATTTTTGGATGGGGACGAAACAAATTTGGACAGTTGGGTCTTAATGATGATAATGGTAAGCAGTCATTGCTTTAGTAAAATAATTTGTGCTGAAGGTCTCTGTGAATCTGAAGATAGCAATGTTCCTAGAAACCGAGCAGGCCAAACAAACTTCTGTTGAATATGGTTTGAGTGTCARTGTCGTGTGATTCTTGTACAAGATGCATTTTTTTTCAGCTCACTATTTTTTAATAAAAATTCTGATAGCATTGCATTGAACTCCTAGCCTTCATGATTTGTTTCCTTTTCCTGTCCCAGATTTTACTGCTACTTTGACTTTCTGAGTTGGATTGAATTGAGATACGGTGAAATTGTTAAAACTGGAACTAAATACTGGATAGATTAAGTGGCATGACGGAAGCAGTAATTACCAAAGCTATCTTGTTGTTCAGYAGACATATTTAAGGGAACTCTATTGTTTATTACGTCCTATTACTGCTATTATTTTCCCTCAGATTGCTTTTGATAACTGTTTATGAATTTCAACTAACCATTTCCAAAATTTCCTCTCTTGATACTGCTAGCTCATTAACATTTCCAAAATAAATAACTTGATTAAACTGTTTCCTTGCTATATTTCCCAATTTTATGCTCTCTCTGAGATGGGAGTATCTAGTGTCATATTATTACAATGCACAGTGTATTTTGTGTGTCGCATAAAAATGCATATCTGAAATAATCCTTGAAATCTAGTCACTCATTCATAATAAAATCATATACACTTCTCAGGAGGCAACTTTACATGGGAACTTCGGATGCTTCTCCTTGGCACATGTATAGTKTCCAGTTTTTATATAGCATCACTTCTCAGTAAAATTCATTTTTTATATCTGGACAAGTTATTTGCTACGTGTCTTTGTGGCAAAGTTTAGCGTCTTTAATAATAATAGTTTAGTATCTTCTGTTTGTAAATAATTTCCATCCCAAAGGTAGTCACTGTAATCTCATGATTTTAACAAATATAATTTTTTTATTTAATTAGAACTGGATTATAATAATGAACATAAAATTACTTGCCTTTCCATTCTTTATTTACAAATAAAGCAATTTAGTCTTGTATTAAACCTTTCAGACAGATATGCTCCTACCCTGCTGAAGTCGTTGAGAACTCAGAAAGTTGTTCATATATGTTGCGGAGAAGATCATACTGCTGCTCTTACAAAGGTACAGTGTTTAAAGATATATTTATGCCCTGATTTATTTATTTATTTATTTATTTATTTAYTTACTATGTGGGTATACTTTTCTCCTAAAAATATTCTAAATTCCATATCTATTTTATTCAGACTGTAGTGGATGAAATTGTGGCACCGTTAGAAGAATGGCAAAATAATCGGAAAAAAACCCCGAGGAATCTCATTGTAGTTCTAGATTTTTTTTTTTTCCCCAATTTTGGAGAAGTTGAACATACCAGATTTAGCCTTGCTTATGTAACAGTAGATGTTGTRTTATAAAATTGTGCAGGTATGGAAATTTACAGTAGTATAACATTCACATCTGTATTGTCAATGTTATGACCCTGTTGCTGCTGCTTTTGTTATTGACCGGACCAATTTAAGTCTAGTTTACGTGCTTCTAGGTTCAGGGAAGAGGAAGATAGGACATTGTTCAGGGTTTTCTTGTGGAATTGCACTTTCTACTTAKGTACTATTGACAAGCCAGTAGAAGGGTTGAAGATGTAGATAATCCACTCGTAGTACTTGCAGTATGGGCTTTCATCGAAGGTTGGCTATTATTTCAAGGCTGACTTGCACTAAATATGTATTCTGTGTCAGTGTGTTAGGTTCTTAGAGCAACATTGGGATTGATGAAAATTCTTGGAGAGCTGAAATGTGTTGAGTTGCCCTGTATGTAATGGTTGGCTAAATGAATCATTTGCAGACTTTGTTGAAGGTTTGGAACATTAGGAACAGAAGCAAAATAGAATGTGTAGTGCTAGGGATCTTTCTTACACTATTCATCACTAAGATTGTGCATGTGAAGCTTCAAGTATTCAAAATTAACTTTGTTTTGTTGTGGGTAGCCATACACTGTGGGTGTGTGACTTACAGCASTTGATTCCTATGCCTTCCTTGCAGTGTTTTGATACTTGGATTAGACTTCAGCACTTGGGTACAAATCAGTGTGTTAATACTGCGATGTTTACTTTTGTTAAGTGCTCTTAATGCATCAATTAAAAAATACTTTGAACTTTACTAGCAATAGAATACAATGCTGGTCAGCATTCAGAACAATTCTGATCAGCATTCAGAAAGGTGACTAAACATCTGTCACTTTATTTCTGAATCTGTTGGATTCAAAATTTCCAAAGAAAAATTAATACTGGAAATGTACATTTTTAAAAATTATATTAGTCTGAATTATTACTCTGCAGCAAGTGAGAACTTAGTTTGGAGGTCTGGCTCTCTGGAGCCATTCTCTTGTTGCTTTGATGAGCTTAAGTTTCTACATTTAAGACTGTTCAAAAGCAGTTGCTTTTTTTGTCATAAAATAGTCTTTTGCTTAGCCTGAAAAAGATATGTTGCAACTTCATAATCCTGATATCGAAAATGCTGTATTGTGCAAAGTTAGGGAAGTAGAGAATGTAAAGAAAGTGCAGCAGCTGGTAACTTGCATTCTTTGTTCCTTTTTAGTGTGTAGAAGATAACTTAATCCATTCTAGTGGCTTTAAAGGAAGTTTGAAGTTATTGAATTTACTCTAAATAATATGAATTGTGTACCCATTTGTGTGGGCTCATTCTCCCTTTCATGATAGAGAGGTCYTATTTATATCTCTTATACACAATGTTGTGTATTTTTTAAAGTCCTACTAAAATTCAGAAATACGTGTCACTTTGTTACCCTATTCAGTGAATGAGATTGTTGGTTTTTCTCAGCGGACGCTGCCATTTTAATGATGATTGCCAGCAGAGGTCCAATCTGGTGCAGAGTAGGACTGAAAGAAACAGCTTTACAATTGCAAAGCATTTGAAAATGGAAAGTTTCAAAGTTGTTGTAAGGTAAGTTGTACGACTTTTAAAAATGTTTGTAGCATTACATTCTTCTATTGGCTATTGGAGTTTTTGGTTAATTCTTTTTTTTTTTTTTGAGAAATTAATCAAAAACACTTAAATTATTTGCCTTACAACAGTGTTGGATTTTTTTCTGGTTTCTTATGCTTTCAAATAATGAAGCTGATTATTTCAGTCATACTCTGCATCATCTCTCAGAGAAGGGTGACTTCTCTGATAATTTCTCTGGTAATTTTTATATTCAGGATTTAAAAACCAAAGTACTTATTTTAATAGTCTGAGTTTCTATGCCATTATAGTTCATGAAGAAAACTGGAAAAGAGGAGAAGCGAGGATTAGTATCTATTAATTATACAAGTTAATGGCAGAACTTTTGTATAATAATGTGGAATTTACAAGAACATGATTTACAAGTAAGGTAAACCTGAAAACTGTGCCACACTTTCATAACTGCAATTAACTTGTGAGCTTTAGGTATGTCAGGGTCCCCTTCTGTAATTTTTTTCTTTCTTCCCCACAATGCCAAAACTATCAGACAAGGAAATTTGTTTGAACCTTCTAGTTTTGATAAGTTTGTCTGTCTGTTCTGAGACATGCTATCCTTTTAATTCAAATACTTTATTTGTTTAGGAAGGTGGGGTTTTCACATTTGGAGCTGGAGGCTATGGTCAGTTGGGTCATAACTCTACCAGCCACGAGATAAACCCAAGGAAAGTTTTTGAACTTATGGGAAGTGTTGTCACACAGATCACTTGTGGAAGGTAAGTATTCTGTTCTAAGCACTGCAGATCTTATAAAATTGTTATGTATAAATTGTTATATATGTTATGATAGAAAGTARTTCTAATAACTTTTTTTATTCTAATGACAATGGGAAAGGGGAGATAGGATAGTCTCTAACAAAAAAATTAACTATTATTTTTAAAGCATTAAGTAGGAGAACTGAAGGAAGCTCTACTATTTGAGGTCCATGAGTCTCTAAACTGAAAATGTGTATAATTAAGTACTGATTATTTCTGGCATGTACTCATCTGCTATTAAAGAATGAGGACATCTGGGGAGGTGTGTGTGCTTCACTGAGGATAAGTATAAAATTACATACCTTACTTTGTGAAAGTGCCTATATTACTGTACTTCACTTTGGCCCCTAGTGGATTTTTATTGCATTTATTATAGTAACAGCCAAGAAACGTGGAAAACGTCTCCATCGCAGATGAAAATGTCCTTGTCTAAAGAATTGCATTCTAAGAAGACAAAATAGGGGAAGAAGATAAATACGGGTCAACAACGTTTTGTGTGTGTGTGTATATGTTTATGTGCGTGTATATACACACTAACACACACACACACACACACACACACAGAGCTAATTGTTCAGTTGACATTGGTTGAATCCATTCCCATTTGGTAATCTGCATGAATTTAATACTGCTTCTTCCCAAATTTAAGAGAGACCATATAGAGTTGAAAGAAGAGGTGAAACCCATCAGGTATAAACTTCAAAGCCCCATGATACCTGAAAGCACAGCTTGTCACTAGGCAGGAGGCTGAGGTGATGTCTGGCATCTTTGCTCCCTGATTTTTTTCTTGAAAATGTTTTGCCTGCTGGCGGTATTGCTAGTGGCAGCACATTCCCTAGGGAGCAGTTGCTGCTACAGGACCTTTACCATAGTGTTTTAACAAAGTTCTTAGTTTGGCTTGCATTAAGGCTTTTGTTACTGATTTCTTTCTTTCTTTCTTTCTTTCTTCCCCTAGGCAGCACACTACTGCATTTGTTCCTTCATCTGGAAGAATATATTCTTTTGGACTTGGAGGTAATGGACAATTAGGTACAGGAACAACAAGTAATAGGAAAAGTCCATTCACAGTAAAAGGAAACTGGCTTCCTTACACTAATCAGTGCCCACTAGGTGCAGGTAAGGATACCTGACATAATTGCTCTCTGGATTTGTGTTCTGTTATAAATGTTCTGCAAGTCTTGAGATGTAAATTAAATCTGTGTTGTGGTAACTTTCTTCTAAACAGTTCATTTTCATAATGTTCTGTTTCCTAAATTCAATTTCTCTGTGGGAAATACTCACTAAAAATACTTATTTCTGCTGTTGGGTTAAATGCTTTGTTAGCAGTAAACCTAACATATTGCTGCTGGTGTTTACCTCAGTCAGATATAGAGAAAACTGTTGCAGAGATCTCCTTTCAGCCAGATATTATAACAAAAGAATCATTTCCTAACTGAGTGTACGGATTGCAGTGTCTCCGATGTTTCTCTGATTTCAGTTGCATGTGTGTTRTTCTTATTACAGACAGTGAGGAATTTTACTGTGTAAAGAAAATTTTCTCTGGTGGGGACCAAAGTTTTGCACACTACTCTAATCCACAGGTAATACACTGAAATATATATTGATTTCCAAGTCTGTCAAAACTAAATTGAGAGATCCAGTTATTGTGTGTTAACAATCAGTAAGTCCTTGAGGGTTTTTGGCACGATATTTTTTTTCCCATGTGATGAGTTAAGGAAAACTTGGTAATAAAAATGGCAAGGTTGGAGGATGATGGAAAGGAAATGTTAAGTGACTCGGTTAAGCAGAGACTCTGAATGCAATTGCTGTGTGGGTTTACTGTTTTTTTTTTACAGAAGAATAAGCAATAGATGAACTTTGATGCTGCAAAAGTGTTCCCTTTGGTACTCCTTAGTTCAGAAATGTATATCAAATTCTTTCAGACTTAGTTGAGTACCGTGCTCTTGGGACCGGTGTGTCCTTGCCAGATCAGGGGCTTTGGACAGACAAAATCTGTTTTCTCAAGTTAGTTTTTGAGTCAGTTGAGCTCTCTGAATCACYCTGAGCTTAAATGATATTTCTAGTGGCGCGAGGGAGCCAGCAAGAGGCTTTCTCACTTTGATCCTGGAGAATAGGATCAGAATTAGACTTTGGCAACAGCTAATCCTTAGCCTGGCAGCTGCATTGTCAGACTGCGCTCTCAGGAAATATGGCACCTCTTAGTAGTTTATTTTTGGTGCTGCTTTTCCACCTCTCTTTGAACTAACACTCCTACTCAAAATGAACTTCTTGCTTCCAGTCTGTTCCTCTCTATTGGATACTTTGCTGGCATTCATTCATTATGAGCAGTACATGAAAATGTAATAGAAGCTCATCAGATGATCAAAGAAGTGTGGTACAGGTTTCTTTTCTTGAGAGCAGTGGGGTGGGAGAGCCGCTGTCCAAAAACCGGAATGGCTCCTTTTTGGCCTGCTTACGGTCGGAACTAAAAGGCTGACAGTGATGAGGAAGAAGAGGAGATGCTCTGTACTTGTGTCTGATGCATGTTGGTTAGTGTTCACATTCTAAAAAAGTGGGTGTCTATTTAGGAGGGTTGCCTTGAAGTTGTAGTGCAAATTTAACACACTAATTTGGATAGTTGTTAGAATGTGTTTAGCTTACTCTGCTCTAATGGTGAATGTAGAACTGCTAAATAAATTCAATTTATCTCAGAGATAATTTCACAATAATTGTCCAAGTAGGCAAATTGTTAAAAAAGAGAACAAGAGCTGAAACACAGGATTGCTTTTATGGAAATAAAACTTGTGCATCTAATGCCTTCCACTTTCTTTAAAATTTAGAATATGGTACCACCAGATGATTTCAGGTATCCTGACTTTTTGAAGCAGATTTGGACTGTGAATGAAGCGTTTATTCAGAAATTGTTGTCTTTCCCATCCGGAAGACTTCCTGCGGAGATAGCTAAGTAAGTGCTGCTGAGGAAAGAAGTCTTGCATTATTGCATGCATGATTTCTGCGTTTGTGTGGAGCTCTTGCTGCACTCTCACTGGTGCGCTTGTAAAGCAGTTTAGGTCCTGCTTTGTCATCTCGGTCACAGTTTAGATTACCTTTCTAAACAGGATTAAGATATGTGCATGGTTGCACTTCAGAAAAATAACAGTAGATATAAAGGAAAATCAGTAACTGTATGTCATTAGGTAAGGATCACAAAGGGGAAAAAAAATGTTGCAGTACTTGTGCTTTGGATGGCAGAGCTCAGAGGGTGGTGATAAATGGGACCGAGTCCAGTTGGAGGCCTGCAACCAGTGATGTCCTTCAGGGATCAGTACTGGGCCCCGGTGCTATTCAACTTGCTCATCAATGAGGACATTGAGTGCACCCTGAGCAAGTTTGCAGATGACACCAAGCTGGGCGGAGTGGCCGACACTCCGGAGGGCTATGCTGCCATCCAGAGGGACCTGGACAGGCTGGAGAGCTGGGCAGAGAGGAACCTCCTGAGGTTCAATAAGGACAAGTGCGGGGTCCTGCACCTGGGGAGGAATAACCCCAGGCACCAGTACAGATTAGGGACTGACCTGCTGGAGAGCAGCTCAGCAGAGAGGGACCTGGGAGTCCTGGTTGACAGCAAGTTAACCRTGAGCAAGCAGTGCCCTCATGGCCAAGAAAGACAATGGGATCCTGGCCTGCATCAGGAAGAGTATTGCCAGCAGGTCAAGAGAACGGATCCTGTCTCTTTACTCCCCTCTTCCTCATGTGAGGAAGAACTTCACTGTGAGGGTGACAGAGCCCTGGAACAGGCTGCCCAGGGTGGGTTGTGGAGTCTCCTTCTCCGGAGATCTTCAAAACCTGCCGGGATGCCACCCTGTGCCACGTGCTATGGGTGTCCCTGCTGGAGCGGGGAGTTGGACTAGATGATCTCTAGAGGTCTCTGTCAAGAGGTCTCTTTCAACCACGCTGTGATTCTATGCTTGTGTTTTGAACAGTGTTGAGTCAAGAATGTAGGTTTTATCTGATGTTGTTTAGTCTTATTAAAATTTGCTGCATTCTATTGTGAAATGCAATTCATTGCAGATTAAATTCAGTCCTTTATAAAAATGCCTATTTCTAAAAGGAAAAGATAACTTACAAGACATAATTTGATTCATATGAACAATTTCAGTGAAATCGATGGAACGTTTTCCTCAGCTGGGTGCCTGAATGGGAGCTTTTTGGCTTTGAGGTAAGCGGTTAGGCACATAGCCGTTTCTGTGAGCTGAAGAATTAGTGGTAGCTACTTTCCTAGTGTCTCGCTTCAAGTAGAATCCTGTTCCCCTAGGTCTGTACCTTAGCGTTACTCCAATACCCTTCAACTTGCTCTAGAATCCTGTGGTGTGATTTGTCACCTACCTGAGCACAGCATGTCTGCAGAAGTGTGTCCCCTCTGGCTGTTGGTGCGTGATCAAACAGCACCAGATCTTGTATAATCCAGGAGGAATACATTGCATAGGTTTTGTAAAACCTAGCACTCCTAATGTGTTGCCTTGAAGTTAAATTTGCAAGCTATTATTTGGTGTCTTCAGGGGTCATCTGAGATGGGAGTCTGATACTGTGACTTTTCATGTTTCAATTCCTTAGTAAATAGGACTAAGTATTAAAGGTGAAAAAATTGGAGAGGGATGATGAACATAGATTCAGTCATTTTCCCCATATTTTTTTCCCTTGCTGCAGCAATGATGATCATTACAAAACCAGTGCTCGATTCTCAGGGGTTGATATGAATGCTGCTAGACTGCTATTTCACAAACTTATACAGCCTGACCATGCTCATATATCACAACAGGTTTGTCCTGCGTATTTTGCTTACATTTGAAATGATCTTACTTCATTGCAGTTATTCGGAAATGCAGTTGTTTTGCTTGGTCTGACCTTTTTCTTGTAATAACTTTATTTACTTTTACCTTAAGTACTTTACAGAAGAATAACTTTTCTTTAGTAAGGTAAAACAATAATGTTGTACCAGTTAGGTTACCCCATTAGCATATTGTAAATGTTTGCATTTTAATATTTAATGTACTGTCTTGTTTTCTAAATTTACCTTATTTAAAACTTTTTTTGTAGACTTCTTTAATCTAGCAGGGGAAAGGATACTAAATAGCTTTGCCTTGCATCCATGCAGTTATGAACAATGACATTACCAAATCAGTCTTTTGTAGCATATACTCTAGGTGCTTATCTCTTTAAGATTTTTTTTCTTAAAAGGTTGTGTTTTTTCTTAAGTGTATAATTGCATTAAAATGAACTGAATTTTGTTTTTTACTGTAGGTTGCAGCTAGTTTGGAAAAGAACCTCATTCCCAAATTGACAAGCTCCTTACCAGATGTTGAAGCCTTGAGGCTGTATCTCACACTACCAGAGTGCCCACTGATGAGTGATGCAAATAATTTTACAACGTTAGCTATTCCTTTTGGAGCAGCTATTCTGAACCTAGAAAAAGCTCCTCAAAAAGTTCTTGGTAAGATATTTAATTCCTCGCTCTTCAAACTAAGAATCTTCAGGCTATAGAAAGCTACAGAAATTCCACCAGTGAAGACACTCTCAGTAACGCCAAATTCCACCAGTGAAGACACTCTCAGTAACACCTACTCTGTATTCCCAGTGCTGCAGAATTCTCTGATGAGAAGGTTAAGAGCTAGTGTTGCTCCCTGTGCAGGAGAGGGTCGTTCTCTTGTTTCTGGATGAGCTGACTGGCAGTCTGTGTAAATCGATCTTGTGTCGTAGTCTCTGGGCTAAGGAATGAAAGGACTTTGGGAAGGAATGAAACCACATAGTTCAGTGTATTTGATATATGTCTTTGCTCTGTAAAGTGAAGATTGTGGTCATAACATAATGAACTCTGAATGATTTCCAGCGAGTTAAAAGAGCAGACATTAAATTCATTGTGTTGATGGAAACACCTGCATATTTATGTGTGAGGACCTAGTTTTCTCCCTGATCTAGGATGTGGCCTTCAAAGCAGTTTAGAATAACTCTAGCTGTCTTATACCATTTTCTTATGTCTCGTCATCTGCATTTTGAAATCTGAGATTTCAGAACATTTCCTTAAAATACTTCCTCTCAAAATAATAACTTTCTCAGTAAGTTTCTCTGAAGGTAGTTACTTCTCCCTTATTTATTTTTCTGCTTATATTTGTAATTCAGCACTTTTTTGTCTATATGTGAGAATGTTTCTATTGTTCACAGTAGGACTGTTTGCTTAAGTAACGAAGTTTCAGGTTATGGACCATCTGTTTTATGTCAGAACTTGTTCCATGATACTCTAGTGCGCGGAATAACAAACTTAATTTTAAGGGAGAGTCTATTACAACAGAGCATTTGTAAGAGGATTCATCCTTTGTGCAAGGATTAGTTTTCTGCTTAGAACCTGGTAGCTGTCTTGTTGTGTTAAATGTTCTTTATTGGGACATACTTAGAAGAGAAGGTGGTTTAATAGCAGTGGCCCATTATTCTACCTTGTTTTTCCCCTCAGCTCTCTTGTCTCCAGCATTGGTTCACAGATAGGCAGCTCCCACACTTGCTTCTGCTCTCTTAACTTTGTTTTGTCTTTATCTATTACTTTCCTCTCCAAAGCTGCACCAATTGGCCAATACTCACACTTAGATGATTGGTGATGTCAGTTTTGTTTTACATTCCAGAAAGCAGAAAGGGGAGAGTGTGGCCCTATAGAATAATATGTCAYTTTATCTTTAGTTGAGTGTCTGTTGCATCCCAACCTTTCTTCTATGTGGAGAGCTGAWTTTGTATCGAAAGTACCTTTTTTTCTCCAACAAGTGTGCTTTCTCGTAAAAGTCCTTTCCTTGTAAGACAGAATGTCCTTWTCTTGTAAGGATAGTTTAACCCAATGTTGTATTGGCAAATACTGCATTTGTGTGTTTGCCATTCCTGCACAGAAAACTGGTGGTCTGTACTTGAACCTCCGTTGTTCCTCAAGATAGTGGAACTCTACAAGGATGTCGTAGTGCACCTCCTAAAGCTCTACAAGATTGGCATTCCTGCTTCTGAAAGAAGAATATTTACCAACTTTCTACACACTGCTTTCAGAGTTCTGGAAATTCTGCATAAAGTAAGTTTGAATCAGTTTTAATCACATGTTTGTTCTTGTCATCATCTGTGTGCAGTTTAGTCCTTAAAGGAAGTTGACTAAAGAGTTCTAAATATTTAGGTTTGTCTTAGCGACTACAGAATATCTGTAGCTGTCCATCAGGACCTCTGAAACATTGGGATTCTAGATGCCAATTTGACTTGCAGACAGAATTTCCTATTTTCTTGGGAACACAGATGGACTCAGTTGGCTGTATCTGGGAAGGTACATGAACAAAATTGCTTGAAATAAGCAAGTAATATCAGAAATGGAAGGGGAAAGCAATCCTGTTTCAAATAAGAAAAATCTGAACAATTTTAGCGAGACAAATATTTACCCAATTTATTTAGTGTGTTAATATTGCAATTTAGTTCATGAAAAAATAATGAATTTATAAGCCTTGAACAAAATACTCCACATAATTTGGAGTAACCCAATTAGGCATGGCACAAGCTGCTTTGTCTTAATTGGAACCGCAGTTTCTGTCCTTTTTGTCTCCAACCCTGGTCATGCTGCCTATTCTAGTCATGCTGCTTTTTGTGATTACAGGCTCAAAGGGGGTTTAAGACACTCCCTAAGGTGCTCATCCAGTTACTTTATTTGTGCAATATAGCAAAAAGGGACAGGCATCTAAACTGGACTTTTGTGTGCTAGGCATGTAAAATGCCTTAAAAATGAAACAACAAACCCACTGAATTTGCCAACAGTTTTGATAATGGTCTTTGAAGCTTTTGCTGTGTATCCATTTGAATCCAGTCTGGCTCTCCTCTTCTAAATTCCATTTCTTTGGAGAAGCCCATCTATAATGAACAGATGGTTACACAGTAGAAATAGTTATAGTTTTTACCTGAGTGCTGCCCAGGTCTTTATATTGATGTTTTCTAAATAATCACCACCTATGAAGGAATGCAGGGGAAAGCAYTGAAGAACATTTAACTTTTCTAGTATCTCTTCCTTTTTGGTGGTGAGGAGTTGTTTAAGAAAGACAGACTTGGTTTACTTGGTTATACATTCAGAAGAGCTCACGTTTTTGGAAGTCAACAGCACCTATCTGTATTTGGGAAAAGCGTGTATTACAGTGCAATAAGTTTGCACTGTAGGAAGCTCCGGGATTAAAACTGTAGAGAAAGGCTTTTATATAACGCTGCTTTTGTACTTTGACTATCTTACTCATAGTAGAGATGACTCATTCATAGGCAAATACGGTTTCTGTGAGATCATATGATGTTTGAAAATGACAGTAGTGCAACATTTTATGCTCAACTAATCCTATTTTCCCTTGCGGTTTAGSTGAGATAGTTAAATAATCCATGTTTCTGTGCTTTAAATGTCTTCTTTATATTTTTGCACACACTTGTTTTCGTTGATCTTTTAAAATTATTTTTTTTTATAGTAGGTGGGTATTTATGACAGACAAATTAATCGCTTGAAAATACGGAAAATGCTTTTAAATATTCTCACACAAAGTGATAACAAAAAAATAAATTTCACTTCTTTAGGTAAATGAAAGAGGACAAGTTATACAGTATGACAGATTTTATATTCATGAGATACCAGATTTGATAGATATCAGAAATGACTATTTCAACTGGGTCCAGCAGCAGGTATTTGGAATGGTAAGTTAGTTTGTTTTGTCTTGACTTGTTTCTGTTCCTTTATAGAAGTTGGTAGGTTCTCTAGTTACTTTCTTATGTCTGGTATGACTTAGGTCAGGCGCTTGCTGAGAAGGAGTTACTAAGTAGGTGTGCTTCATGGAGGGTGCCATTCGTAGGACTGACACTGTTCAGCATTTTAATCTGTCAGTTAAAAAGCAATTTGGAATAATGTCAAACCAAGATTTACGATGGCAAAGAGGTTAGGAAATTAATTAATGGTAGGAAAATATCCAGAATATCTTGCTCTATGAGCTAGGTTCAGTGGTAGGTCTTGGTATTAGAAAGAAATATAGATGTGGCGAAAGCAGAAATCGTCCTGGAAAATGGAATCTAGCAGTGTACTTAGGGAGTTTCAGGGGGATGGATAACTGTTTCTTACTGTGAGTGTAGCAATAAGAACTGAGAGAACTAATTCTTGGATCTCTAAGCAGAGAAGTGGTAAGTGGGAGTAAATGAATGACTCTGCAGAGATTTAGTGAGGTGGGTAGGAGGATTTTGCCACACAGGTCTTTCCCTTCTGCTTTGGAGGAATACCAAGTAAGCTCATACACTTGCTGTAGTCATCTAAGTTTAATTCTTCAGCARCAATGTCTGGGGGGTTCTGGACCCTGATTATAATCCACTTTTGCAGGGTGCTCTGCAAATACAAAGCCAGTGATTATCTCACACCCAAAGAATCTAAAACTGCAGAATAACATAACAACAGAAGGGAGATTTGGGGAGTGTGAAGAAATAATGAGTCAGTATTGACAGTCATGACAGACAGCTGTTTCAGCCAAGCTGCATACTGAGCTGTCTGCACTAAGATAGAATTCTGAGAAATATTTTGAAAGAGAATTCACTGATKTTGGGGAGGTTCCCAGAAAGCATCCCCTAAGTATGAATAATCACAGAGTGGGGAAAAAATCAGAAATATGCTCGCCTCAAAATGTCACCAGCCCGTGATGAGGCTGGTGCTGATAGCTGAGAGGAGCAGTCTGCCAAATGGTGCTGATGTTGCAGAGCCTTGGACGCGGGGACAGACAGTGTATTTGGAGAGGAGAGTGAGCTCAGGAGGGATCSAGGAAGGGGAATTGGAAAGGTGCTAGCAACTATGTTTAAATGGMTGTAAATAAACCAACGTTGCCAATGTCACAACCAGAGAAGAAAGTAATAAAACATAGTGAAATGAGGGCTGGAAACTTGAGTTCTAAGGAAACTCTAAAGCTCCACTTGATAACCAAATGAGAAAGTTGAGCAGCAATTTGGCATTATGGAGAAAATATTRGATAGTGACTTTCCTTTGATCATTATTTTGTCATGCATTTGTCCAGCTTTAAGTTGAACAAAAAAAGATGATTAGGTTCATTATAGGACTGAAAGAAATTCCACATCTTTAGTCTGTTCTCCTTCATAAATGTATGTTCCTTGCCTTTATACTTCTTGGTTTTCTTCTTGCTTTTAAAACAATCAGAAACTCTGCTTGCCAGTTGAACCAGTAATAATGAATCGGATTTCTTTTTTCACTGGTGTTACTTTTATTGTCTTAACTTGGAGCATAACTGTTTGCTCAATTCCTTAGTTAAGTGTAGACAGGAAACAATAAAAGAAATGTTGTGCTGTGGTACCTCTTGTTGAGATGAAGGACATATTTTGTGAAAGCAGATACTGATTTTGCTCCACATTTTAAGTCATGAGAWAAGTCCCCTCCTTCTTTACCTCCTGAAAGTTAAGTGTTCACTCTGAATACAGAGTAAACAAACACTTCTTARCACTGAACTTGACATCAAAGCTTGTAACCTACCAATTTTTAAAATAATTACTATATCAACACTTTTAATGTGTCACTTGGATTTTCTTTCAACCTATGTCAGGTTGTTTCCTTCGATTCTAGTGCAAATTCCTGGAAAAAGTTCCATTTTGCTCTCAACAGTAGATAAATGAGTGGGGAAAGACTGAAGCTACTTAAATGACGATTTACTCACTTGAAGAGATAGTTTTAAAATAACTGAGATAGTGCTTAAAGGAATTGAAAAGACTGTTTTAATTAGCAATAAACAATGGCAGACACGGTAAAAGTATGGAATTACATTAAATCCTCTTGCAATATGTGACGTACTTCGATCTGGTGTTTGCTTTGAGGACTGAGAGATAGGGACAGGGAAGACTATAGGTGATGGTGTTGCGGCCATCACTCGCTTTTAGTTATAGATGTCTACATACATTGTCCCTTTCTGACCATTAAGCAAAAATAGGCTTAGCTTTCACCAAAGGGTCAAGTAGCAATGGAAACTCTGTTTCTCATCCAAGTTTATCTAGGAAATGTCTTGGATTTAATGTGCTGTAATAATCCGAGAATGAAAATGCATAAATAAAGTCAGTTTTCTTTTCTGTACATTTACCATGTTTAATTTTTTGCATCCAAGAAAAAATGATACATTATGCTTCCTTTTAAAAGACTAACATATAGGATGTTGAAGGACATGGTGGTATCTGGTAGACTAATTAAAATGTTTATGGCGGTTATTTATTTTTCAGTAAACATTCTTTTTTTGGGAAAAAGCTGTAGCTAAATATTTTTAACTCAACATCAGAGATGAATAATTAATGCAGACACTAATGCTGCTTTTTCATCTTAATTATTGCTACCTTTGTGCAAATGCTGTCATAGGATGTCAACCATGGATTAACTGAGGTAAGATTGGTTGCATTCTGATTGTTGTTGCAGAACATAAGGAAATCAGAAATACGGTTGTGAAGGACTGTTTGAGGGGTTCTACTGGGAATAATGTGTTAAGTTCATATGGCTGTAATTGGAAAAGAGCTTATAAACTGCCTTGCTGGATAAAACTGGTCAGATTATTTACTAAGATTGTTCTTGGGGCAAAGATATTTCTCTGTGTAGCCAACTTAGAGTTTGAGAATAAGAACGTTTTCTGACTATGTCTAGCAGTCATAACAAAAGTTCTGAAATTAAAATGTGCTAGGCGTTTRTTTTTTTTGTGTTGTGCTGAAATACTAAATGATTGAAAATATACTCACCTGAAAAACTTATTAGTCCTGCATTAACAGTCAGTAAAAACTTATTGCTTTTCTATAAAATTAATATATTAAAATGCCATTTTCTTTAACCATCATTCTGTTTCAATAAGCAGAGTTATGACATGATTCTCTTMCTTCTAGTTAACAGATATTCCTGTTACAATTTGCACGTACCCATTTGTATTTGATGCCCAAGCAAAGACGACTCTCTTGCAAACAGATGCAGTCATACAGATGCAGGTAAGAGTGTCATTTCCTAACATTGCTTTTTTCTAACTCAATGTAATTTCCTCTGAGATTCTGTCCCCGTCCCCCTCCAGATGCATAATATGATAAGAGCCTAGTACATTTGTAATCATATAAATAAGGATTTTTTTCATTAACTAGATTTCTTCTTCCAAGTATTAACAAACCATAGTACAGATGTTAAACAAGTATAAAGTATGTGTGTGTACATGCACATATGGGTTTGCATGTATCTGTACATATTTTTAAAAAGTGATTTTTAAATGACCTGCAAAAAGGCCACTGTAGAGCCAGGAGCTGGAGCCAAAGTGCAAGCCTCTTGTTAGAGGGAGCAGCTAGTTTCTATTACTTACCATTTCTCTTCCTGATGACGCCTKGGAGCTAATCTGTTTTCAAGATTGGTTGTATCTTATCTCTGCAAGGCAACATATTGGCTGCACTTAATTATTTACTGTACCCCTATTGCACTTTTTCATTGCTCATGCCACCTTCAAAATGTTACTAAATAATTATAACTCAAATGGTAAAAAAAAAAAAAAAAAGTGATAGATGAAAAAACATTTTCCATAAAATCCACAAATCACTTTCTAATGCTGCTTTCATATCGGATTTATATTAAACACATTACTCTTCATTTGCTCGTTAGATAATATATAATAATTTGTTGTTCTTTGTGTTTTTTTTTTCTTTCAAGTATTTTAATTGGAGTATAAAAAGCTAAGTTCTAAAACCTCCCTGAATATTAGCATTAAGGCTAATGGGGAAAAGAAATATATTCCTGCTAAGATGAAAGWTATCAGAAGAAAGTTTGTGCGAGCTTTCTAGCTTCCCTAATGGATATCGCCGTTCCTGTCTCCTCTCCCTCTTAATTTAGTTTGATAGACTTACTTGAATGTTGTCAGGCATCTAATATTACCTATTAACATTTTTACTCTGTTTTTCTTTTGCCCAGATGGCTGTTGATCAGGCTCATAGGCAGAATTTGTCATCTCTCTTTCTGCCTGTGTTTGAATCTGTSAACCCATGCCTGATATTAATGGTGCGAAGAGACAATATTGTGGGAGATGCTGTGGAAGTCCTAAGGAAAACCAAGAACGTAGACTACAAGAAACCCCTCAAGGTATTACCAGTCTATACTGCTCCAAGTCTCTTTCCCTGACACAAGCAAGTGAATATTTTTCAGATGACTCCATKTCATGTTCCATAGGCACTGTGCTAACTGAAGGTTATTTTGTAGGTTATTTTTGTAGGGGAAGAAGCTGTTGATGCTGGAGGTGTTCGCAAAGAATTTTTTTTGCTTATCATGAGGGAGCTKCTAGATCCCAAATACGGCATGTTCAGATACTATGAAGAGTCGCGACTGATCTGGTTCTCAGATAAGGTGGGGTCCAGTCTGCTGTGATGAATTTTGCTTTTAACTTCTTAACTACTTATTTATCAAAATGTGCATGTAGTTGTCTGTGTGTGTGTGTTTGGGGGTTTTTTGATTGTTTGTTTTTTTAATTCTAGGTATGTAACCACTGAGTGGTGTAATGTTAAATCACTGGCAATCTTTCTGCAGTACTTTCAGTAACGTGCAGTACTTTTAAACACATTTTCCGCTACCAGCCTTTTGGGGTTTTGCTATTCTTTGGTTTATTTATTAGTTTAGGAGTATAAAGAATCCTGTTTCTCCTTAACCAGCTGAGTGAGAGACTGAAATAAAACTTTATCTTGTTTTCTTCAGTACTAATGGTTATGTATCTATCTATGGAAAATAGAAATGGAGCATACTTGGTTTATATTTCACTCTACTTTTTTTCTGACTTCTGTAAGGCTAGAATAACATTGTTTTAAATTACTTAAATTGTTTATTTTCTGTTCTTAGACTTTTGAAGACAGTGACTTGTTCCATTTGATTGGTGTTGTCTGTGGCCTAGCAATATATAACTTTACTATCGTAGACCTTCATTTCCCTTTGGCTTTGTACAAAAAGCTGCTGAATAAAAAGCCATCTCTGGATGATTTAAAAGAGTTGATGCCAGATGTTGGCAGGTAAGCAGGAAGGAAAAAATGAGTGATTCTAAGAATTTTAACACTCTTCTAAAGGTTAAAGAACATGCTTAATGATTAGTGTTTGAATTAATAGGATAAACATCTCTAACTTGCGTCCATCGTGCCATTTGATATAGGTTTTTTATTGTTAAACACTTGCTTCTCAGTGCATGTTTTTTGATCTTTTTATCTTCTGTTTTTATTCTACAAKAATATTAGGGAAAAAAAATCTTGAAAAAAAAAAAAAGGCAATTCTTTGCATGCTCACCTCTGCATACTGTAGTTTCAAAGCAGTGTGAGTTGCTTGAAATTTTACACCGCTGCACTACAAGGTGCAAGTCAGCCAGATAATAACGGAAATGTAACAGTAGGAAGAGTTTTCCTTTACCCCTAGAATTATCAAAATGTAAAGAGAACTTCAGAAACTTAAATTAATCTTTCTTCCTACTAGTACAAACACGTGGTAATTTATTTTTCAGGAGCATGCAACAGTTACTGGACTATCCGGAGGATGACATAGAGGAAATATTTTGTCTTAATTTTACTGTAAGTTTTAAATGTTGTTTAAAATACTTTTCAGCAGCTTTCACAGTCTGTTATGACTGTCTCTGAGTTTAAGCAAAACCATCAGCTTCTGATCCTCATGAATTTTAGTGTTTTCTGCTTGTGTTAACTGAGTGCCCTTTGTGTTGCTCTTAGCTAGGTGGGAGGAAGAAATCCTCTGACAGTAAATAAAATCTCTGTTATTCTTGTTTGTTTTAAATAGATTACTGTGGAAAATTTTGGTACAACAGAAATTAAAGAGCTTGTTCCTAATGGTGCTGACATTCCTGTAGTCAAACAAAATAGGTGAGTTTTATGAGGCACAGGGTAGGTCAATGTTACTGCCTGCTTTGCAGCATAACAGGTCTACTAACTGCAATGTTACAGGAGTTTGGGAGGGAAAAAGTGCTTTGGCTGTTTTTTTCCCAGCTATATTTTCATGTGTATTGTTAAAACATATTATGTGTGYAGTATGTTAAAACATACTGCATTTACGATTATGGATTTACCAACTACTGAGAGACTATGTAGTTCTTCTCAAAATGAGTAACTTTTTTTTTTTGCCTATGTAACTTTTTTTTATGGCCTATTTGACTATGTTSTCTTAATTTTATAAGGTGAAAATGCTTGTGATTTTGCAGGAAGTTATGATTATATATAGTTATGATTAAAATTTAATGACTAAAAGCAAAAACTTCATCCTAATACCTTTTGTAGCCACTCTATGTATTTGAAAGAAAATTTTCAGGAAAGACTGCCAGTTGTAGGGAAGGTAACTTGGTTTGGTGCTCACTAGCATCGTTTCCAAATGAGTATGTGAGAGGTGTTTCCCCCTGCCGTGAATTTGGCTACTTCTGTTTAGAAATTAGCATCCCCTCTGCCACGCTTGCCTTCCTGGATTTGGAGAGAGAGCAGTTTGTTTCTAACATTTTGCAGTATTCTCAGGCCATCTTTCTTATTTCTGTCCTTTAATTGTCATATCTTCTCTGTGCTTTTGATTTTGTGATTCTGTAAACAGAGAGGACACACTCTTCGAGAGCAAAGTGCACGGTTATGTTTTGTAAAAACAGGAGATGATTAAGTCACTCTGACGCTAACAGCATTAACAAAACTTTTTTTTTGCTAGTCATACCCACAGCTATTGTATCACATTAGTGAATTCTAGTGATCTCCTTAGCTGCTACGAATATGCTAATATTACTATGATAAGGTAGTGGATATTTCCAAAATGACAGGACAATTCTTTGTGCTGAAGTACAAATAACAGCCTGTTTTTCAGTAGCTTAGCTTTTTTGCCCTGATCTTTTTACCATGTAGGACTTCACATCCCTTCGAAGCTAATTGGCATTTTGAGTACACGTATGGTAATCCCTTTAATTAAAAGTACAATAGTGCTTTTGAATAATCTGCTTCAGAGCAGAGCATGGAATTCAAGCCTTCGAGCCTGTTGCCATTCAGTCTGATTCCCTACAATGCATACGAACAAGAGAAATGCTCACGGTCCCTGAAATAAATAACATTGACTCTCTGTTGTGCACTGCAGAATCTGTTTTGAGAGGGGGAAAAAAAACCAAACTCACGTGCCATTTTCATTCAGGTTATCTTCACTATATCCATAGCACTGCCTTGAGAATACACTGTCTTAGGTATTTTTTTAGCCTAATATGCTCTACTCTGCTTTATATTTAAGTGACTACTGTTTTATGAGAAGGATTTTCTCCATTTTTAATATGATTGCGTTGTTTTTTCCTTCTCACAGGCAAGATTTTGTGGATGCATATGTGGATTACATCTTCAATAAATCAGTGGCGTCCTTGTTCAGTGCATTCCATGCAGGCTTCCACAAAGTGTGTGGAGGCAAAGTTCTTCAGCTCTTCCAGCCCAGCGAGCTGCAGGCAATGGTGATTGGGAACACTAATTATGATTGGAAGGAGTTGGAGAAGGTAAAAACCACACATAGCAACTTGTTTCATGTATTTTTAATTTCAAGATGCAAAACARAATCTGTGAAATGTCCTTCCTAGTCCTGCTTTCTCCATTAATGTGGTTAAGGTGACTAATACGATTTTTCAGCCTTTATTGAATAGATAGTATATTTGAGGAATTTTTGTTTGCCATCAGTGAATGAAGACACTAAAATATTACTTGCCTGCCCTSTCTAGTTTTCCCTTCCATTTTCTGAAGGCATTGGACTTGAAAGAGAAGTGAAGAAAAATTGCATTGAACTGGAAGGCAGACGCATGCAATRTATTTAGTTAGAAGGGTAAAAGTGAATGAAAATGCACACGTTCAATTGAAATGCATTAGTGTCATGTGTTTCAGGTTAATTCTACCAGTTCAACAGTAATAACCTCATTTTCTCATCATTTTAGAATACAGAATACAAAGGAGAATATTGGGCAGACCATCCTACAATTAAAATATTCTGGGAGGTTTTTCATGAGTTGACCTTGGAGAAGAAAAAGCAGTTTCTATGTGAGTATTGAACACCATTTTGCAGACACAGGTAACTGAACAGGATCGTTGTGGTCTTAGATTCTCACTGTGAGAGAGAATTCACTATTTCTCTATAGTGATGCAAATAACTTCATGGAGAGGAAAAAGTAGTGACAGAAGGACCTGGTTACAGGTGTGTCTTGGATTTGGGGGTGGGGTGTCTGAAATTTAGTCTGGATGGAGATTTAGAAGATCGAAGTAAATTGAAGCAGGATTAGGGGAGAAAAAAATAATAACCCAAATTGCAAATGTCACTTATCCGATGACTAGGACTTTTTGTGTGTTTTGGCATCAGATTCACATGCTCTGCCCCACATAGATGGAGGTACAATTGTTCATAAATATTTAGTTACCAATAGGAGAGGAAGAATGTCCAGGGAAGAGAAAGTTTCCTGTGAATGAGCTGCTATTGAGAATAGATCAGGTATTGGTTCACATACAGTTCAGCAGAACTTCTCGTTGAAAAACAAGTTGCGTTTATTTATAAGATGGTTAAACATGTGGTAATGGTTCAGGTAACTGTTTTTTAAAAGATACAGCCTGCTACGACTTTCTACTTTCATCAATGACTATTTGGCCTCACGTGCTAAAGGGTTTTCTTTTGTATATCCCTTGTGTCACACTTAAAAAGTTTATATGTGCAAGCTGGAGAGCAATTTGAGTCATTACTTATTCTTTTTCAGTTTATCRGAACAAATTTAATGTGAAACTGCTGTTAAAATAATTGGAAAATGTAAATAATGATTAGAACTGTGGTATATGGGGGATATACAGTATTAGCCTTAAACTACCTTCAGGACTTTGTGTTTGTTTTTTTTTTTCTTGGCAGTGTTTCTGACAGGCAGTGATCGTATTCCAATTCTTGGAATGAAGTGTCTTAAACTAGTCATCCAACCAACAGGAGGTGGAGAAGGTTATCTTCCAGTAGCTCACACTTGCTTTAATCTTCTTGATCTTCCAAAATACACAGATAAAAAAACCCTAAAATCTAAGCTGATCCAGGCTATAGATCACTATGAAGGTTTCAGTCTAGTATAACTTCAGAAATGAGAGTTCTGTGTAATGTGGGATCATTAAACTAACTTTTTTTTGTCTTTCTTGTGGTGGTAAATTCAGTGGATAAAATGATGGAGACGATAATATAACTGATTATTTGCAAAATGTTCAGTGGTATGGATATTCATGGGAGCCAAAAAGTAATTACAGAAATGAAGAACTGTCTTAATACATCCATTCTTGTACAGAACCATGTGTTTTATGCCATCTTACAATAAAAACGAGAGTATTGTGAATGGAAGTCAAGCTTCACTAACATGAATTAACATTTCACCTTCTGCAAATAATTTGGTGTGTGAGTGCATGAGAGACTTGCCTACGTTTTTCAGATCACTGAGTAAGAAYATTTAGCTCCTTCCCTGGTAAATTTACTTGATAACTTTTCATTTTGTAAATAAACTTTTTTTGTGATAAAATAATTATGTTCCAATAGCRGTATGGTTTCTATTGCTTGTAATGAATATGAGCTTATTTTATGTCTTTTAACAAGAAGTGACTACTCTGATTTCTGAAGATATATTTTTCTGGTTTCTTTTAAGAACCTTAATAATGGAAGTGATTGCTCAAAAGACATTCATCTTCAGAATGTACAATCCAATGATTTCCGTGAAGCAATCGCTTAGTGCTGGTACAAAACTACAAATAAYGGCTTTTATAATATATGGGTGGACATGGTGACTTAATACACGTTTATTTTTAAAGACTGCTTCTGTAATTATGTGGACACAATTATAAAAGAGGTTAATTTATCAATGGCAACCTCTGCAGCCATGGGTCAAGAATACAGCCTAGCAGCAAAAGATGCACCAGACAGATGTTACTGTCAAGAGGTTAAATGTTTATTTTTTAAATGCTGAAAGCGTAGTTTATGCTTTCTAATAGAATTTTCACTTTTTTCCAGATAAATGCATTTGAAATAACTCTTTAACACACCCCTTCCCTTTTCTTAAAGTTTATTTTTAGTATAAGTGCCCTGAGACAATTGTGCTTAGCTGAACACTTTTGGATTTGACTTTCTTCCTTTGGTTAAGCTCCCGATTGTTTGTGGTGTTAATGCATATGTGACTTGCAGCTGTGAAACAAATATTTATTTTTTTTAGATTTTTAAATGCAGTGAAAACAATTCAAGCTATAATAAAAGACTTGAATGAAAACTCTTCTTGGTTGATGTGTATGGATGCTTGCATCATGCATACTTCAGTAGGAGGGTAACTTCTGCATGCATTAAATCAAGAGCACGGCTCAGCTACTAAAAGCTCACTTTAAAACAGAAGAATTCGTTCATTGTAATGAAGTGTAATATATGTAGCTACTGCACTGGCGATAGATGGATGTGTAATACACAGAGTAGCTAAAAGTGTTGCTGTTCCCATAACACTGTGTGTTTTCACAGCTCTCCGGTGCAGTGTAACCTCTAGTAACTTCTTTGTACGCAGCCCGTATTCCGTCTTTTTCAACATTGTTACCTGGCTGGCCAATTCTCCCTGTTGTGAAAGACAAGAGACCAGCAAATATTAAAGCTTAATCTTATTTCACATGGAAGAAAGAAAGGGACAAAAATATGCTTTCATTTCATCAGGTAATTTAAAACACTCTTTCAGAATTATGAAATAGCAAGATTATAAAGGCTAATACTCAGAAATTAGGAAATGACTAATGTGAAGCTGTCAGTCTTGCTTCTTGCCTTGGGTGTTACATGATCACGTCCGTGATCGTTTTTTTTTCCATGGGACTCTTGCTCCATTCGTTGCACACAGTTGCCCTTCACTGAATGACAGTTAAATGTTTGTTTCCAGGTTGTAGGTCCAAGCCTGATTCCACGTGCATCCTAAACCCAGGACTGTACCTACCTACAAACTATGTTTTTTTGCCATGTTTAGGTTTTTATCAATATTAATRTGGGATCAGTAATAGCTTCATTTTGTAGGTGAGCGGCTCTGAGACAGCCCAACCATGTTGACTGAAGATATGCTCATTTTCAGTGCCAAATTTAGACTATACTAGACAACGTTAAGTGTCGTTTGTCTCTGGAGGGCAGTTAATGCCGGCCGGAGTGGCTGGGGTGATTACTTCATGTTTCTGTAACAGGTATTTCTTCCTCTTGTTGTAGTGGAGATGTGGAAGGTTCAAGGGTGTGGGGGGCTTCTTGGGTGTGTTTTGATGATTGGCCAAACATGCCATTAAGAACCCGCTGGCAGAGCAGGGATGGAATGAGGTTCCTCGGGGCAGCATTCCCCCGAGGGACACCCTCCTTTCTGCAGCTTTGGCCTCTCTGGGCGCGGGGATTGGGTCCTTCAGAGCATGGTCGGGTTGATAAACACTCTTGATTATTTTACAGGTGTTAGCTCGTTCTCTGCAGTGAGACAGGTGCCCTCTTGCAAAACAGACATAACCTGCAGTATGAGGTAAAGGATTTGAAATGTCCTCCCAGAGGTAGGGGAATTAACAGCCATGTGCAGGGCTTGTACAGAAGTTCAGTACTGAAGGAGAGGAAGGTGGGTGGCACGAAGTGCATGTTTGCTCCCCTGCAGCCTCTTTGCAGGCAGCACTCAGTGCTCTGCATTGGGTGAGGAAGGAAAACAAGCTCTGCCCCTGTGAGGTGCAGCAGTGTAGGGCTTGTCTTCGTGTCGCACTCCAGTCGTTCGATTCCTGCAGTGAATGGATGAACCTATCTCCTAGCTCTTGTCTTGTGCTTGAATGTGCTGTTCAGATTCCTGTTGATCATATTTGAAGCAATATCTTTAAAGGCTAGTCAGGATTTCTAAAGGCACAGATTTATCTAAAGGCATTGGATTTATCAGGTGGTRGAACATATTTTAGAATCATGGCTTAGAAATGCTCCTGAGCCTTTTGCTGGGAGATGTACACACGTAAAGAATCCGTAGAATGGCACCCATTGCCATAACTTCTGTACATGCAAGTGCTCTGTCCATTGGCCTCTCRCTCCTGCTCCTGAGGCAGCCAGAAGTAAAGAAGGGGAAGAAGTAAAGGCAGGTGGCACAGGGGGGTAGATAGGGYTTGGTGTGGAGTGTGGGTAGAAGGACCCTGCGTGAGTTTGGGGGGAATTCCCTGGTGCCTGTGACCGGCCGTGTTCTGCGTGCAGCTCTGTGCTAGTCCCTGGCAAAGCTCTGTGCTGGGCCACGCTGGGGTGCGTTGAGGGCAGCRCGGGTCCTTGCAGCCTCGTGGCAAGGACGCGGTGCTGAGGTGGGGCAGTTCCCTGTGCCGCAAACGGCCTCCAGGAGCTGTTGGCAGCAGCACGCAGGGAGCTTGGGGGAGCTGCCTGTGCCCCAGCTGGCGGCCGTTGGCCAGCGCTGGGCTCCCCGTAGCCCCGTGAGGGGCAGCAGCTGGGCCGTTCTCCTCATGTTGCTGCTCGTGCTGCTGCTGCTGCTCGTGCTGCTGCTTCCCAGCCCTTCTGCGAGCCGTGAGTACTGCCGCGCACTGCGCCGCTCGCACCGGCGGCACGGGCCCCTCGGCGCGGTCACCACAGGCAGCTGGGCCGCTTGTGCCTGCCGGAGGTGCCCCCGAGCCCTCGTGCTGTGGAAGGGATGGTGTGCTTCAGCAGCGGCTTCTGCTTGCAAGCACTGCTTTGCAGTTGGAGTAGTTCAGTAACTACTGAACATGTTTGTGTGTTGAGTTTCTTCGGCTTCCGAAAGTTTATTCCCTTGGTAGACCTGTTCATGGTTTAGTGCTGTGTGCAGTGGATGTGCCAGCAGTTCCCTGGCGTGTGGCAGCAGTGCTGGGGCTGCCTGTGAAGGGCAGGATCCCATGTGCGTAGCAGGGCCCTCCCTGCTGCTCCGTGTCCCCTAAAGCTGAGCGGCCCTTGGGCCTCCGTGTAACCAGTAACCCCTTTCATGCCTTGTGGCTGGTGTTTAAGGTAGTTGCATCGTGCATCGTATCTTGTGCTCCCTAAATGAATCCTTTTTGCGTCCCGCTTGTGCTGCATTTGCCTCTCTYCCCTACGTGACCCCTTGTTTCTCTCCCAGGTCGATTCCTGCAGCTTTCGCTGAGGTTGTYGGAGCCTCACCGGCCCGGGGCTGTTGGTGTCTCCTCTGCTCTTTGGCTAGCGAGGCCAGCCAGCCCTCGGAGCGAGTGAGGAGTCACTGTGCAAAGGGCACTGCTGTGACTCGGGGGTTTCTTGGTTCTGGCTAGTTTGGAACCTCCTGGTAGGTAGATGTGGCCGGTTGTTTCAGTCTGTTCCATTTTATGTGATTCTGTGTAGTTTTGTTGTTAGAAATCTGTATTTTGAGACTTGAATTTTATTTTGTGACTCTATAGGTCACAAAATACAGATTTCCTGCAGCTTTGCCTGAGGTTATCGGAGCCTCACAGGCACGGGGCTGTTGGTCCAGTATCAGCTGCCTTTAGGTTTAACTAGTCTGCTTCTGTATTCGAGCACTGAGTATTGAACCCGCAGAACTGAGCTGTTACCTGGGTCCTTTTCCAAACTTTGTTGTTTCTGATTTAATTCAAATTCTGGGAGCTCCATACGAGGTCCTTTGAGGCAACAGTATTATGCATTTAATAAACTCTTTTAATAACCATAATCACTACTTAAAAGGTACTGGGTTCAAGATAGACCCTTTCAGAATACATGGCTGTTAATGAAAACTTACTGTATGTTTTAAATACTGACCTGTTTTATGTACKTGAAATACTTTTGCAAGGTATCATATCATCCAAATAAGCGAGTACTAAGAAGGRGAGGGCTAAACATGTTAATATATCATGAAACAAATGCTTGTACTTGCTCAGTATGGTCATTTAATATAAATTAATATATTTAATTTAATATAACTCCTTCAGAAGGGGTTAATGCAAATTCTAGAAAATTAATTGAAACCCCAGAAGGACAACTGGGACTGAGTGTGCTCTTCCCAGCTTCCCCAAACACGTAATCTAAGAGGCCGAGTGGCCGTGGGTAACGCTCCCGTGCTGTGCTGGCCAACATCCCTCATGCCCATCCTTTGCCTTGTGCTGAACTCCAGCCGCGGCCTAGTCTTACGTATGTTATTTAAAGAAAGCATCTTCACTCTTGACTTCATTTGCTAAATTAAGGTTTAAAATACAAATAGATGGACACCAAAAATCAAATGACAATTTTAATAGACTTTAGAACAGAGTGTACAAGTATAAAACACTGGTTTTGTATTTCAAAAGTTGCAGGAAGATAGCCAGTCATTTTAAACAGTCTTCTACAAAACATATGCCAGTAGATTACATAAAAGACACTATATACAATATAAAAGAGCAGAAAACAATCCTCACTGTAAAAATAATTTAAAACAAAGTATTTCAATTTAAAATATCTCCTATAGCACAAACTAATACATTGTGACATGCAAGTGAAAACTAAACATATTGCATTCTTTAGTGTAGCCAAATAAGAGCTGTATTCARTTTGGACCATGAGACAACATGCCAGCGTTTTTAGATGAATATAGGAGGCTGTTCCTAAGTATTTATTAACTCTTGTATCTATGTTCAAAGAACAGCTGCTATACATCTTCCAAAATGTAATAAATATTAAAGCAAAGTATATGAATAATCTACAGCTGTAGAGTTCATTTGGGCCAATGTTGAAAAAGTGGTTTATAGAAAAATGCTGTTTCACTTACTGCTGTGCTGTGCAATTTTACAAAATAGCTTCTAAAGGCTTGGAAACAATCTGCCCTTGGAAATTCACACCATCCAGGTGCAAGGCCGCCCCGTCGGAATCGCAGGAGCTGCTCTGCTTTTCTGTGCAGGGTGGAGCCAGCAGGTGCAAACGCTCCTGCCCTCAGCCCCGGCCTCAGAGCTCTTCTCTCCAGGTCGGGTCATTCAGCTGCACTTGAGCTGCTTAACGCAGGCAGCGGGGATACGTGAGCTCCTTTCGCCTCTTTCTTAACAGCAGGAAATACAGAGGAGGGATTTTTCTCTCTTTGCTTCCTCTCACGCTCTGCCAGCGCCGCGGTTGCCACCGTCACCACTGGGGCAGTGACCAGAGCCGCCTTGCACAAGCTGCACGAGAACCTGCGCTGGGGCTCCCTTGCTTGAAACAGCACTAGTGGAAGAGCTGAGGAGCCGGTGCCACCGTGCTGCGGGGCCCCGGGCAGTCCGAACGCAGCAGCGTGAGCAAGGATGCATTTTCACAGCACTTGTTGATCAGTCTCAAAAGCACAGCAGGATTTTTCCAGCGCTCACTGTCTCGTTTCCATTTTTAACTAACTACTCACATTTGAGTGTGTCTCAAACATACAAAGTAACTGTTAAAGCAAAAATTAGCTGCCACGGTCGGTCTTAGAAAATGCCAGTGTTTAATGACAGACTATGCAAGAATGAAAGGCTTAGCAGAAGCATAAGGTCTTAAATAAACCAAGCTATTACAAAGCAAGAGGTGTAAAAATACCATTCTTTGGTCTAAATTAGCTGTTCCCTTTATATTAGTTTAACATTCCAATGGCTTTTTCAAAAAACTGTTTAAAAATAATATAAGCTGAAATCCATTAAGCAAAAATATGTATTATAHACATGAATGCCTGATAAGACAAGAGGAACTTAAAAGTGAACATAGTGACTGACAATTGTTTAGATATTCTTAGTACCTTTTAAAAAAAAAAAAAAAAGATGAGTTAGTGTTGAGTGCGCAGTAATAGAATTTTATTGAAAAAGGTAAAAAACTAAGCATGAAAATCTGTTTTAGTTGTTTATAAACACTACATCCTTATGGTTCTGTTGCTCTAAATTCAGACGTAAACATTCATTCTGACATGCCAAAGCTCCTAATGCTGGTGGARAGTTCCTGTAACCAGTCAGTGAGTTTAAGTTTACGCTTTACAACGTGGGGCTTGTCGGATGATCCGGCCCCGTGGCCTCGCTTATATAGGCTGCTTCATCGGCTGCGTCTTGTTCCGCTCCGTCATCCCCAAATCCAGGTTCCTCGTCCCTTTCCGGAGCATCCTCCTCCTCCAGGCCGTTATAGAACTCCTCGATCTCGCTCTCCTCTTCCACGTCTAAGCTCTGGCTACGACAGGAGCCGCTTTCGCTGCTGCTCCCACAAGAGCTAGAAGAGAGGATATCATCCTCAGAATCCGAGTACACCTCAGCACCGTGGAAAATATAGCGATTTGGTGGCAGAAAGAGATACTGAGTACCTGAAACACAATTGCAAAAGCCAGTAAGAAGCTGAACGGCAGTCACGAAGAACGGTGCACACTTCTATGTTAGAAGCTGTCTACAACGAGGCATTGTCCGAAGTGAGGTTTAACTGACCAAGCAAATTGTACTAGGAACCCCTTCCTTCCAGGGGAGKAGCAGCACCAGCAGGGACTGAGGGCTTTGCTGGAGAGCCAGCGATTGCCGCTCTCGCACCTTCCTTTTGCACAGAAATAGAAAAGCATTTCTGCTTCTCAGCTGTGGTATTTGGCTGCCCCCTTCTTTGGTACACATTGTAGTCACAGCTCAATTTCCATTCTTTTCCTTTTTATTTTTTTCCTATTTTGTTTTTGTGGGGGGATAACTTAGGTTTTATAACAGCAGTTAAGGGGGTTTTCCTTGCAGAGTGCAAAGCTTTCTCAGAATGGCCTGGGTTCAGAGGTAGGATTGGGTATTTTTGTTTTTTGAGCTGGTATCTTTCATCATTTAGTTCTATAATTGCTCTGCTAAGTTGTCATGTAGTATGACCAGCTATTTAAAATGTGAAGATCAAACTCCTTTTCCTGAAAATGCTTTTGAAAAGGCCAGGAACAGCAGATTTTGGATACTTGGGTTTAACCTCCTAAACCTTGATTTCTCTAGGGAGCATGCAATCAGTCATGATAAAGGCTACTGCAAATCACAAATAAACAGGAAAAATCCTATGAGCTTCCTCAAACTAAACGAAAACCTTACAGAGCCAAGAACAAGGCTGTTTCAGCAGGCACTTGCCTGAACAGAAGAAAACACAAAACCCAATGATGCTTTAAGGGCACTGCRGGGAGTCACACTCACCATCCAGCCGCTTGCTGATCTGTTCCTTCGCAGCCCTGGCTCCCCAGCACTTCCTCAGGATCTCGCTCCTTTCCCTGCTTTCCGCGCCGCTGGCTCCGTTCTCCTTCACTGGCTCGGGGTTCACTCGCTCGGCGGGCGCCTCGTGGGGCTGGTCCTGGAGCGCGGCCTCGGCGCAGCCCCGCTGCGTTTCCGCGGCAGGAGCGCAGTCCTCCGCCTCGCGCCCGGCCTCTGCCGAGGGCGCCGYGGAAGCAGCCGCCGGAGCCGCTCTTTCCGGGGAACTAGAGTTCTCGGAAATGTTTAAAGGGGTAGGCGGGAGCTCGGAGCAGTGCAGCTCGAGCTCCTTGTGTGGTCGTGGAGGCTTCTCTGTTATTTCAGAAAGTTTTACAGGGTTGTAGCAGAGTTGCGTGTACTCGCTGCCTAGCCTTTGACACAATTCATTGATAATAACGTCACAGTCTCCGAGAAGCTCCACGTCGAAGTGTAGATGCGGCAAAGGCTCCCTATTAATTAAGATCTGAGGCACTTCATGGGGGATGGAACCTACATACAGAAAAGATATTTAAAGAGAGCCACTTAAGTTCTGTTTTTGTGAGCTAAGTATTTATTAGTAGTATTTAGTTTCTCAGAGTTGTCTTTATGTATTTACTTGCAACACAGCACTTGCTGTGCCTGGTGGAATCTGCCTAGGCTTTTCCCCAACCCATTTTTTCCAGTAAAATGTCTTCCTCTTCTTTATAACTATGGAGTCTATATACAGAAGTATGGACTGTTACCAGTAAGTTCTGTCAAGTGTTGAAAAGATTATTAGAGATGCTGCTAGTAATATTTTTCATGTAATTAATTGCATGGGGGTGACAGTGTTGGGAAACAGCATCTCCTTACATCAGTGTGATACTTGCGGGCACAGTCTGCCTGGGCTTAGGGCTGCTCAACCCCCTTCTGATACTTAAAAGGGTTCCAAAATGCACTGGTTTGGTGACCTTGGATGCCTAAATAATGCAATCCCATTTTAAAAGCAATGGTTTGTGTGGTGCCAACTTTCCAGTCCTCTCACACAGCACCAGGCAGAGGTGGAGCCAGGGCAGGTAACTGCAAACCCCTCTGAGGGGATTCTGCTCCCTGCAAAGARCAGGGGTTAGGCGCGTGTTCTCCCAGGCTGAGCCTGGAACAGAATTTCCTTGGTGCCAGCAAGATGATGATATTTAAAAAATGCCCTTTACAAAATAATGTATGTTAGACGTTTTACCCGTTCACTTTTAACGGCTAAGGATGTAAGATGATCGGGTGCTGCTATACAGTGTCTGCTGCTCAATATTTAACAACAAACATCAACTTTAAAATAAGCTGTGGCTCAGGAGCCTGCTGTGCTTGAAKGGAGCACCAAAAATCTAGATCTGGACTTCTCCAGTCAAACCCTTCAGGTAAGGCTGAGGGTGTACTGCCAACACAGGGAGAAGGTAACTGGATCTTAAGACAAGGACACTCCAGTTTCAGCAAAGCAATTTTTTTTTTTTTAAGGTTATAGCTTGAGATCTCTACTCTGCCAGGGGGTTAAAAACACCCTTAGCATTGTCTTTGTCCATTTTGATCTCAGCTTTGCACAGACATTCAAATTTCATCAGGTCAGATGACCTGAATCTGAATTGTCCTCCTTTTCTGAGGACAGAAGCATTTCTTAAGAGACCTTAAGAGCAAATTTTCATTTTTTGATCCAGCTTTTAGAAGGTAAAATTACCAGCGATGGTCACTTACTTGGAATCAATGCTACTGGTCTTACTTTCAGCGAAGACCCGATGACAATCAGGAGGTCGACTTCGTTTTTGTCGTACTTCATGGCGCGATGGAACTGTTCGGGTAGGTTCTCTCCGAAGAACACGATGTCCGGCTTCATGATGGCGAGCGGTTCCTCGGCGGGACACCTGGGACATCTGGGGACAACCTGCATTACAACAGCTCACGTTACTGCTGCGGCTGCCAGCTGACAACCTGCCCTCTCAGCAATTCACAGTGACTTATTTTGGCAAAAGCCAAGGAAGTTTCAATGGAATTTCCTCATTTTAGTAGTCTGTGGATGTACAGACAAGGACTTACCTTCTCCTGGCCTGCACCAAACTTGCGCAGAAATAAAAGCAAGAAAAAAAGAGGGAGTTATCTTAAATCAGAAAGGAGAAAACACTAATTTACACCACAGTCCTTATCTGACAACCAACCCCGTCCAATATGTGATTGCCTTTGTTATCAATCAGAACAAAAATCAGATTTCACCATCAGATGCCCTTACAGGGCTTGATCTAAAGCCCTTCCTCACTGAAGGGCACGTTGCAGAGCTGCATCTACCTCTCCCCCAAAAGCTGCAAGTTACATGACTAAAGCAGCCGGGTAAGAGCTGGCTGGCAGCGAGCACACTGAAGAACATGGAAAGGAACTTCTGTTTGGTCTCTGTTTTAACCTCTGCATCCCCCCAACCAGGGCAGCAGCAGAATCCTTGTTCTCTAAAAAAACAGATGAGGGGTTTGTCTGTGAAGCAGCAGAGACCCCCCAGTCCTCCTGAAGTCTTTGGGATATCTTTCAACTCTTCCTTGTCAGGGAGAAGAAAAGCAGGAAGGTGAATAATGGCAGTGTACACAGCCCGGACTTTAATTAGTACCGAGCAAATCTTCTTCCAAAATGGTTCAAGCCTTCTCAGAAGCAGTGTCAGCAKGCAGTACCACAGAATAAGGAGCTCTCTCAAGAGCTGCAGTCCTATTGCAGTCATCACAGTAACCGAGTGCTACGTAGAGGTGTCAAGACAAGTATCCTGTCCACTGTAATACAGGGGAGCACATAAAACACCTGCCTGTGTGCAGTGTACCAAGAAATACAGACTGCAGCTTAAACCAGAGCAACACTGACCGGTGTCCACAGCAGGACAAAAGACAGCGCTTTCCACGTGAAAAGGCAGCAGAAGGAAAAGGTCCTTCTCCAGAACACCAATGTCCCTCTCCCAGAATGCAAGTCCTTGGAAGAGCTCCTGGGAGGAGAGCTGCCCCAGCGGCAATACGGCAAAGGAACCAGAAGGTGATAGAGGCAGCCTGCCTGACGCATCCCGGCTAAAGAGGGTCTGGCAACACCCCAGTCAAAGGAAACCAGCTAAGGAATCCCCACAAAAGGGCTAGGATGACCTGGAGATTTTTCTTTGGCTCTTTTAACACTATGTATTAGAAAGAGGTAACACACAAACCACTGCAGGAGCTTTGCTGCTTTCCAAAGCACCCTGCCTGGTGGTCTCTGCTCTGCCCTTATGCTTGCAGGCTTAAGGAGGGATGGATGAAACAAAGGCCTCTAACTTGTGATCCGGTTTGGGAGACCAAGCAGCAGCAGCGGCTCCGTTTCCAGCACCTCCCCCAGGAAGCCCAGTGACTCGCAATTTAATGGACTGCTGTGGAACAACTGATGCCCCTATCCAACCAGGTCATCTGAGGCGACGTCCAGGGCCCACAAATGCATGTTTTCATCACTGCACATCTTTCACTCACCAGCTCCTCTGCTAATCCTCAGAAAGGTCGTCAGTAAGGGGGAAGATCTATTCCAAGAGCTGAAATTGATACCAAGAAGTTAGGGCTAGTACTAGGCCCCGCAGGTGCCTCGGGTCCTCTTTCCCCCCACCGCCTCTGTCAGGGCATTTGTCTCATGAAAGAAAAGTGCAATTTCTCTGACTGCTGCTGTTACCAGTATATGAGAGCCTAATAACTAGAGAAAGAGCTTGGCTTTAAGAATATCCAAAAATGGGGCGTAATTTCCAGTGCTTATTTCTTTTTTTTTCCTGAGTCTGAGACCTGCCACCTTTCATTATTTCTTGAAGCTTACTGAAATAGCATCAAAGTAAAGGAAGATATTTTCCAGAAGTAACTGATTCTTTTTTCCCTACTAAGCTTGTTTTGGATGATTTATAATGGCTGCTTCTTCTGATCCAGTAAAAGGGCTGTGTCCAGCAAGAACTAGAGAAAGAGCCACACATTTTATCTTGGAAGCGGCAGAAGAATGAAAAGCAGCAGCAAGAAATTGGCAACTTTCTATACTGGTGACCTTGTACAGGTCTCAGACTGTAACCTGCTGAAAAGACATTCCTGGCAATAAGATGCTAACTACTTAGTTCCCAGTTACTAACCTCATGAAGCTCTTGGATGGAAAATTAAGACTACCAGGGATGGACCAGAGGAAAGGAAAGGCTTTTTACAGAAAACTGAGGACCCGTGGCCACATGCAACTTAGAAGCAGCAGAAGGGAGGGAACAGAGACTAGGCTATCTGTGAGGCCATAGGTGCCCAAGCCACTTCTGTAGTGGGGTCCCTGTTAGAACAGGACTGTTGAGATGTTCCGTCACTCCCTCAGGAACTATGGAAATACTCTTGTAAAAGAAACGCAGTTCTGCATTCTAGAAAGGTAGCAGAAAAACTAAAAACTTGGGTAATACTACACTGGGAAATGAGAGACTAGAGCAGCAAGAGACTATACTTCAAATACTTCTTTTGAAAGGTTTTAATCAAGTTCTGTTTAAAATCTCATGCTTCAAAGATTATGTCATCACTTAGAGCAGACCCTCTTTATTTGTATAAACAACCTGATCTTGATCTGAGTCATCAACGCTGCCCTTTCAAAAGAAAGGCAAGAACAAAGAGGGTCAACCCAAACCCAAGGTTATTTCGCTCTGTCAGAGCAAAGCTGCAGTGAAACCCGTCACTTTGGCCCTCGAGGCCCAGGCAGGAGGCTGGAGTACAGAAGAGCTGAGAATCCTCGGAGATGCCCTTCGGCCTCCCCTTGGGTGTCCGTCCTCCTCCCTCGCCTGCAGCTGCTCTGCAGTTAGCAGTTCTTCCTTGCAGCAGGTGATATTTAAACTTTTTTTTTTTTAAATTGACGATAAACGCCCAAAGAGCAACCAATGTTAAAAATGGCTTGAAAAGGCTGTCTCAGTATAACTGATTCCAGATTAATGTGACTTGGATATAAATCCAACTTTCTACTTACCATCTTAACCTCTGCTTTTCTCAGAAGTGTTTTTTTTTCCCTGTTACCTATTTTTGGAAGTATATGATTTGAGTATTTGCAGTACAGTATTTGAGTACTTTTTAGTAGTAGAGAAATTACTAAAATATGGGTAGGTATGTGTAGGAAATATACAGAAACATAGAGCCTTTTAAAAATAAATACACATCTTTTAGGCCATGTAGGATTTAGCAGTTCCTATTAGAAAACTGCAGTGAATTAAAGTAAATTTTACCTGATTGAAGATATCTCCTCGAACCACTTCACAGTCAACTTTGTATTTACAGATGAGACAGGAAGCTGTTGCAAAGGAACCTGAGGGAGGGGAAGAGTATGATAGAAATGAGGATTTTCAGTAGTTTAGAGAGATCAAAAGTATGTCGCATAGACTGCTAAGCATAATTTCTATACATTATATTACATGAAACATTTGAATATTACTAACCGTGACACTGAATTATCCTTTGGATTCCTGCAACTTGTTCCAGTGTGTCTATGTTTTGTGTATAATTGCGAAGCAGTTTTCCTTCTTTGTCCATCAAAGCTATGAACTTGTGACAGAGAGATGGCTGGAACTGTCCAGGATATATTTCCTGCAGAGTTCAGAGGTACATGAGAAAGGGTAACGGAGCACAGAAACACTTGTTCTGACTGCAGCAATTCATGTAAAGCTGAAGACTCTCAACAGTGACTAGTGACAGTGTGAGTAGTTACTGTGGCCATTCCCATTGCATTTCGCCAGTCTCACCCTTTTCAGGACTAACTGCTCCAAACAGWAGTTTGTAGTTTGCTGCTTAGGCAGCAATGAAAACAAGACTGGGGGCTTTTTGCTTTCGAGAGTTATGAAATGGGAAGGTTTTGTTTTCCTAAGTGGTGCTTCCCTTCAGCAACACATCTGCTTTAACTGCAGCCGGCCAAAACTCAGCTTGGAGTCCGAGCAAATTGGCCATTGTCCAGAGAGGGGAAATAGCTTTTACAGGTGAGTTGATGCATTGCAGGGTCTTGTTTTAAAAAAGACATCCTACTTGCTGCAAAATTGAAAACTCAGTGAGCCATTCTTTGATCCTAAAAATTAAAGCAGCAAGAAACTGAATACTCTGAACAGCATCCAAATATGTTAATATCCGGGTAGGAGGCAGGACACATGGATTTTAGCTTCCCCACCTCTGGATCAATRCTAGAGCAGGAGCTGTGAGCAAAGGGAGGAGACAGTGGGCACGCTTTAGTCAGGACAGCTTTGCACAAGGCCTGACTGCTCCTATAGTCATTCTCATAGTATTTTGCCTTTATAAGTTGTCCTGAGAAAACTGCAGATTACATACAATTATTTTGTTTCTACCTATGTGATTCTTTTCTGCCTCTGAGGTGCACTCTCCCCTTTTTAATTAAAACATTCTATCTCACTAACACCTTTCTAGAGCTGCTGTGATCTCTTTTAAGAGGGGAGCACAATCTCTACAAAAAGGCTTTAAGTGAAAAAAGCAAAACAGGAACAAACTTCTGGGGTATCCAAGTGTTTTCTTTCCCTTAACTGTAAATACAGCCAGGAAGAGTGTTAATGTGCAGATGTGTAACATTAAACCGTACGCCACAACACATCCAATTCGAATGTGGCTTTCAACATTATTCATGTGCTGGCAAAAAGTTCCTCACACTTCTCTCCCTTCATTTTCTGAGGCAAAATAAACACCAGCTAAGAATACTGAGGTTAGATCAAATAATTACATGACAACAGTTTCTATTTATCCTCCCTGAAATTAGAGACATGAACTTGAATGGGTCTATACAATGATGTTATAATAGCAATAGTTAAAAGAAGCTGAAAAAGAAAAAATAGTGTTGCTGAATATGGCTAGTAAGGCTAATATGTGACTATATACAATGATTTAAGGAACACTGAGGATATGAAGTTGATATATTRCAAAGACCAGACAAGGAGAAAGTCATTACGGTACTGAAAGAGGCCTCTCATTAATGTAAATTCAAACACATTGATGTATTTTTCCATCTTGTTTGTACAAAAACAGACAAAGATGTCTTTTATAATCAGATATAAAACTATTCTGTTAACCTATCTTGTTGTTTATGGCTACCATCCGAGACGAGGACGGGGGAAAGGCGTACCTTTGCAAACTTGAAGAACGGCCTGGGATCCTTCCGGAAGTATTCTATATCAAACATTGCTTGAGGATCCGGAAGGTCGGGGAAGTCGACAGCAAGGCGTGCATAGATGCCGTCTCTGGATCTAAAGTCAGGTATTCCACACGACACGGAAACCTGAAATACATTTTGGCAATCTTAAGCAAGCAGAACTATACATATATATATACTATAAATCACTGCTGCAATACACCATGTTTGTGAAACCGTGCTTCCATGTACTAACAGATATTAGGAATGAAACCAGCCTGAGTTATCCGTATTTTTTTTTTTTTTTAAAAGACCAATTCCCAAATAACAAGCAAATGAAACAAAGTTTGACAACCAGGGCAAAAACAAACAAAACAATTTAGCACCATCTATAAAGACAGTAACAGGATACCAGAACTTAGGTTTAGTATTGGAAGTTCTGTAACAAATACACAAAGATGTAAAATGCTGTATTTGAGTTAGGAAGCGTTTACTGACCTGCTAGCTTAGCGTTAGACCAAGTGGCTGGTATTTTACATGCTAGTGCAGCAACAGAATAGATTCTCACTTCTGATAATAAAATCATTTTAATGAAAAAACTAAGCACCACAGTGTTTGAGAGCACTATCCGTCCCAACCACCCAAAAACAGGAGGAGAGAACAGGTGTAKGACAGCAATTCCAGGATAAGCAGCCTTGGGCACTGCTCTTCTGACAGAATAGTCGGATTTTGACAGAAATACTTCAGTGAACTCTTTTTCTGAATAACGTCACACTCCCCACATGGGAATGACTGACRTATCACAGTCAGATTCATGGATATAAAGCTGCAAGTGTTCAACTGTTCACTAATTTTGTTTAGTAAAAGAGTGAGTAATTCTACTACTGCAGCAGGGCAACACAATTTAAAAGCATAATTCTGTCTACTGGAAACACATTCAAAGGCCTGTTATCAACCTTTTCCTTTTGAGTCCTATTCTTACACRAGTTCTAGTCCAGTCAGGCTCTTGTAAGAGATTCACCAAGAYTGCATTAAAACACATTACCTTTGTTTTGGAAGAAAGAAGATTAGGTTAAAAAAAAAAAAAAAAGGGTTCTGAAATAGGAAGATAAGATTTTATTCCATAATTATTTTGCATGAATACTAGACAAGATAGGAAGCAGTTGTTTTAAGATTTTATATGTATAGGAATATTTTCTTAAAAGAAGAGAGATTTTGTCATTGATTTCTGGTTTTGAAGTGCGGTCTTGCAGCAGGGTTGTGGTGGACAGCTGCGCCTCCCCACCCAACACGAGCCCTCCGGTCGCCCGCATTCCTGCAGTCAGATCATCTGCCTGCTGCAAGGCCGGGGTAGGAATTTAACCACGTCCCTGTCTCGTGTCACACTGTCGTGGCCATACRTACCCCTGCTCCAGTCAAGACCATTATTTTTTTGCATTCTTGTAAGAGTTTCACAGCATCATCAATAGTATTAATATCTTTCCTTTTCTTCCTTTTTGGTGGTTCCGAAAGAATGTTTATGACAATCTGCCACAGGGTCATGTCATCCAGTTCAGGTGGGGGGATCGTTTCTGGTAGCAGGTCTTTCAGAATTGTCCGTGGGTCTGTACCTAACATGAGATGCTGCTGAACAAAAGTGTAGGGACCTAAAAAAGAAAATAAAATATATGTATATAATTATTTGGAATCAACATTAAGTACGTAAGGTGATTATGCTGACTATCTATTAGTGCTTGCTACTTTGAGTTATTAACGCAGGGTAACGGCTGTATGACATAGTGTACGTGTCCTGCTCTAAATTCTGAGCTAGGATCTATGTATTTATTTACCTTATTTGTAAKTATTTTATGTTAAACCAGGATAGATTTCTTAGAAGGTTTTTCAAGGTAAAAGTCACAGTTTGTGACTTTTCCACAGGACGCTGAAAGACTCTTCGAAGATCATATATCTAGAAACATGATTTGTGCTATGCATCTCTATCATGTTACCCCATTTGTTGTATTTTTCTGATGTTTTATATGATGTACAGAGAAATAGGTTGAAGAGACAACATACATACATGTACCTTCTAGTCAGGTTATAAAGTGCAACCCTAAATAGAMAAATAGGGGCCAACATCTGGATTTTTTGTTGTTCCTAAGAATACCTATCCCTAATGATGCTAGGCCTGACTTCCTAAAGCTATCAAATCAGTCCTTCCCCAAATACTCCGAAACGCAGTGGCAGAAGAAAACCAGGTAAGCCCTGAGAAGCTGAAGTGAGGAGCAGGACCCAAACGCAAGTGAAAGGCTCTGTGTTCGTTCGATGTCTCCCTGCTGCCGGTCTCATCAGCACTGGCAGTGACAGATCCGAGGTAGGACCGGCCTGCGTGAGACACGAGGCTCCGAGCTCCAGCCCCAGGGGGGCTGCAGGGAAGGCCCTTCCCACAAAGGCCCCTCCTCAGCACTGCTCTCACCTCCAGGGAGGCAAAACCTTCTCTTGTCTACTGAGCTCCTCCCTGCCACGCTTAGCTTTAAATAGGCAAGAGGCCAGCTAATAACTCCTGAAGCAATGTAACAGCCCTATGGATTGATTTGGCTCAAGGCACATCAGAATCAGCCTCTTTTCCCTTAAAGTATGAATAATACCAAGTAAGCAGGTTAGAAATAAGCTATAAGTCTGTTCAGTTTAGTGAGACTGTATGCATACGTTAACATACGTCAAGGCAGGATTTCTACTCACACAAAAAAGCTATTGACAAGTCAAACTAAAATGGAGTAAATTTAAGGAGATTCACTTAATCTCCTTAAACATCACACCGAATGCTGTCAATCCAGCAATTCTAAGCTGCTGAAGAAGTAATACCAAAAGCCTTCTGCAGCAATAAATCATTTGCAGACTGGGAAGAATTAAGTTACTCTTCAGAAGCACCCAGAGGCTAAAATGGCATTACATAAGTCCGTACCTATACGTGGTCGCGGGGTCCAGTCGCTCGAGCTCGCGTGGGACGCTCTGTCGTCCTCGTCGCTGTCGCAGGAATGGAAGCCATTCGCTATGATTTCATCGCTAAGAAGGAAGTTATCTGCAAGACAGCACAACAGTGACTTACTAGTGAACCTCAGCCAACTGGCACAGCTCATACACACTGCACAGATATACATTTAAATATACCATAAAACCCCCAACAGCATGCTCCTAAATTTGACTGGTAATAAACAGTCTGACAGGCAGTTTTGCCATTCAAAGATGGAAATTTTCTATCCTACACTTCCCATTTTTTTTTCTAAGTTTACAGATAGCACTCCAAGTCTTCATTAGAATTACTGCGGGGTGTATTATATTAATATCGGCCTCTGGTGTGCTGGACATGGACCTTAGGRACGTCTTATTCTATAAATTGCAAGGTATTTGTGGGTTTTTTTTGTTTTGTTTTTTAATTATTCCAAATGTGTGAAAATTGTGATTCCTTCCTCCCACAGCGCTCATCTCACCCTGCTCTCCCTCTGAAACCGAATACTGTTCGMTTAAGGCGCTCCTGTCAATGGAGCCGTCCCGAGCAGGTGCAAGAGCTCAGTTACAGGTGTCTGCGGGGCTGTTGGCGGCCGGCGCCGCAGCAGCTGCCCCCGCTCTCTGTCCCACCTGGTGACAGGAGGCCCCCGCTCGGCCCTGGGCTCCGCGGCAGGGCCGGGAAGGGCCCCGTGGCTGCTGCCTCAGCCGGCGCCTCGAGCCCCGCAGGAAGGGGCCCTTCTTTTACACGGTGTGACAAGCTCGCGGACGGAGCGTTAACAGGGAAACGCACCCTTCAGCCTCACCGGCTTATCGCAACGTAAGCTGCTAAGTCATTTTTTTGGTCCTTTATTTGTTAGATATGGCACTTCAACCCTAGCTTCAGTTGTTAAACCATCCAGGGTTCCAAACAAACGAGACAAGTTTTAGCCTCAGTCGTGCTCTCCAAAGCAAAGAATCGTTACAGCAGTTTTCAACCTTCCCTTGAATAAAAGCCTTGTAATATTTTTGCTAGGTTACTTCATTTCCCTCTTAAATGCAAAGCACTGCAGAAATCACCATTTTTATTCAGAAATTGTGACCTCATGTTCTTTGCTCTTTTCTCATTTATATCAATACTTTATTCTGAACTTTCTGCAGTTTTTATTTGGTTCTTTTGCAATTCCTATTTCTTGTTATTAATCCACACACTTGCAGCAATTTTGCATTCTGTCTCTTTGTGCACGAGGTTAGTGATTGTATGACCAAGAAAAAAAAAAGAAAAGAAAAAAACTTCAGAGGAAAGAGCCATTAGGGTGCATCAGCAAGTGTGAGGTGTTCATTTAGGTACAACTGCCTTTATGGCTCCTATGTAAAGAATTAAAGGCTGCATTTTTAGATACTCACATGACACACATGTCACCCGTTACCTCGTACAGATGAAGCACTGGGATTGTCAGGCTAAAGTAACTGTTCAGACTGTAGCTCTGCCTGCATAGCTGTGTCCTCAAAGGAACACAGGAAAGTTTTGGCAAAGCAGAACAAGCCCCAGGACTCGAGCAACTCAAGCAAGGCTTCCTACAAGGTGCTTGTAAGAGATCTGCAGTCCCACTCCTCTCAGGAAGATAACGGGGCTGTCACCGACTGCAGGGCACGAGTGGTCTGCACAACTTTACCCGGCAGCTAGGGAGAAAACACCTAGAACCGCAGGTAAAGACCTTAGGGGCAGCACACAGCATCTTCTGCTGCTTGGGAAGCCTCTCCCACCCCCGATTTTAACAATCTTAAAAACAATAATCACTAACACAATGCGCCGTCACCTTTCAGCAGCAATACA